TTCCAAAATAATCGTTGCAGGGCCACCATAAGAAAAAGACATGGCCGCAAACACAAGTAGCAAAGCAAACAAACAACACACACGTCAGCAAAAAGCTGAGTAATCACTATTGGTCAAAATACAAAGAACAATAGAATAATTAACGTAATTAACTCACTTAAACAATGTAGTTTAAAACTACATTACACATTGTACTCTGGAAATAACCTTTGTCAAACTCAACCTCGAATAATAATATGGAACTTTACTCAATTAACTCATTTATCCCATAAGTGTGTCACGCTCTTTGTTTTATAGCTAGCCTTGGACATGAATAATTTGAAGACTCTCAATAATCAGAAAAACACCTTGAACCAGACCACATATGGGTCAAATCCCACTATAGGGGGTCATAGAAAAATATAAATAAAGATTGTATCTCATTCTTAACTCATGATTATCATCTCCTTACCAATATGCCAAGAACTAAGGTATATAACACTGAGCCTCAAACCAAGAACAAAATAATAATTCTCAACCCTTTTGATCTCACACTTGATCAAATAATCATTTACAGACTCGTAATCAATATCTCAATAATGGCACGGGTTCCCAAATAACATAACCATCGAACTCGATTCAATCATAGTATATCTCAACTCTTATATAGGGAAATAAAACTAATACCCAAATATAATTAACTCACTACCCAAAAACAATACTAGTAACCCTAAAACCTCGATAAAACAATACTCCCTAAAGCAACACCATTAAAAATCCTAGCATAAGAACGCAATCAATAATACAACAATTAAATTATATATCACGACATATTAACCAATATATATATGAAACTTGATCATATAAATAACAAATTGTAAAACTTATGCATAATAATACGAATTATAACATAGTCAGTTCCAAGAAAAAATAAACTTGTGTGATTACGAGACAATAAAATTATAAACATACAACTCCAAGATTAATAAATTCGTGTGATTACCTTATGATTGATGCTCAGACATTGAAACACGGTCAAAGATCCATGAAACAACGAAGTATGCTATAGCTTCAAGTATAATAAACGATGGGTGCGATTGATGATCGAGCAAACCAAAAATATGATCATACATGTAGGCTTATTACGCATGACAACACTATGAGAAAAATAAAGTTAAGCAAAGTTTTGTCAAAAGATTTATGGGTTAAATCCAAACTTACGGCTAAACACTTCTTAGTGAAGATTATTAGGGTGAGGGGGTATTTATACTCTCTCATAAAAAAGATTAAAAATCCTTAATAAAATATAAATTTTATCAAAATAATATATACATCTATATAAAAACTCTAATTTTATATTTTATCAAATCGTAAAATATACGGGTATTACAATCTATGTTTTACATAATCGTTGGCTGGTACACCTGGGTGTATCATGCGCATGGTACACATCATAGTTTTATAAAAGAACACTACATTGAAATATAAAGAACGTGATAATTTTGGTGAATCAGTTTTTAAAAAGGTAAATGATAAATTACCAATTGATTTTTTACTTGTATTTAATGTCAAATCATTTCAAAATATTCAATTTTTTAATAATTTCTATCTCTAAAATTATTTTCATCAAGATTTCATTTTCAAATTTCAAATTTTAAAATTTGAAATTCATTTTCAAAATTTCAAATCCCTAAATTTTTTATTTTGTTCTATTTCTTTTTTGAAACAATTCTCTAAATAAGCAATTATATTTTTTAATATTTTGTTATGATATTCATCTTGGTCATGTGTATTTATTATGAGGTTCATTATATGATTTTTAAATGTCCATGTTCTTTGATTGCAATTTTAATGTACCTTTATTGTCACACAATGTTCATTACTTATTGTGAAATGTTCTTTGAATTTTGTTTTAACATGTTCGGTAAATATAAATAATGTTCTCTGGTGTACAATGTAAATTTCATGTTTTACAAGGTATCTTGGCGTATTAAATTAGCATCTTACTGTCAGTCATAGCTTGTTTATAGTTGCAGTACTTAGTACATCATGTACTTCTACGTACAATTTTCCAAACTAATTACCAAAAAAGACGCATGGCCAAATTATTTACCAAACTAAGCTTTTAGGGTAAAGCGCTGTCTCGGACAACGTTTTATCACTGATTTTTTTTTTAAAAAAATCAATATGTAATACGCTTCCTTAGTCAGTCAGCGATTTTAGTGTAAATTTTTTTTTTTTAAAATTCTTAATTTTCAGCGTTTTTAGTGTAAATTTTTTTTCTTAAAAAAATAATTGGTAACCACCCAACTATCCCCCTGCCGCGTCTCCCTTCCCCCATAACCACCCAACCCCTTCCCCTGAATTTTAACTAAAAAGCAAAGATGTCAAATTTATGCCACATTCAGCATTTCAACTGTATGTTCAAGTATCAAGAAATTAGTAATAGTGAGTTTCATGCAAGAACGAAGTTTGTGTTCAAGCCTGAATCCCCTACATGGTTTTCCATCCCTTACCTTGAATATTACAGTAGTTTGAAATTGAATGTTTCAGGCACAGACCGATGTATAGTTCCGGTTTTCTATCGTTCTTCAGTGTTGATGGCAACTATGCTAAACATTTGGAGCCACTGCTACTCAAAAATGAGGTTCTAATTAATTTTTTTGGTAAATAATTTACATCAATCAAATTAAAGTTTTAATTATAGTTGAATAAATGCTGACCTATAAAGTGTTATATAGGTTGATATGGTGATGTGTGGACATGTTCATAACTACGAGAGGAGCTGCGCAGTGTATCGTGGCAGATGCAAGGCTAACCCTGTGAAAGATGAGAATGGAATCGATACAAAAATTAAAAAAAAAAAAAAAAAAAAAAAAAAAAGTTAAACACTAAAAACGCTGACTCAGTCCAAAGAATCCAACCATAATTAAATCCCAAACGACCCGCATTACCTTCTCTACTTCCATCGAACTCCTCGAACCAAAGAATCCAACCATTCCTAAACACCCTATCAACTCTAAAAGCACGTCAACTTCATACTCCAAAATAACCAACGCGTTAGCAAGTTTAGGAAAGCACTGATGAAAGACGTCGGAAGATTTATCCTCGTTGACAAGATTAATGACAACGAGAGATATGGTACGAACAGCGAGGAGAATCTCAGTCCTAGAAAATTTACTAGACCCAATCTTCTTAAAAGTAAGGCGATGTAGGCAACGGTGAATTAGTGTGACGTAATTCTTATCAACAAATTCGTGACTCGCGTTTGAAGGTAAGAAGCTAGTGAACTAACGATGTTAGTGTATTTTCCCTTAATTAATGATCTTTGCTTACTATCGAGTTGCACGGTAAAATCATTATTAGACTTGTTCTCCTTCTCAACTTGCTTTCGATCATTGTTGGACTTGTTCTCCTTCTCAACTTGCTTTCGATGTTGCCGCTTTCGTTCGGCTGAACGAGCGTTAGAGATGGTTGAGGTCTTCATTGTGTTTTTTTGAAAGAGAAGATGTGGAGATGGGTTATGTTAAGTTTTTCTGAAATACCAAGTATATGTAAAGCGGCACTAGAAGAAAAAGGAAAGTTATAATTTTATGGAATTTTTATTGATTATAATTGATCCTTGTTTAAATAGGAGAGGAAGTTAGCAGCCGTAATTCATGAAACAACAGGGTTAATTCACAACTAATTTGTATGAACGTCAGCCTGTTATCTTTTAAAAAAAATAAAATTTGTCTAAGATATATTATTATTATTATAAATATAAATAATATGATAAGATTTACGAGTATGTAAAAAGTATATCACATTAATTTTTTATTATTATTTTTTTTTTTATATTCCTAACAAAATTAGTTAGGGTTAAATTGAAACAAACCTAGAAGATGAACGCATGTGGTCGATCTGGTGATGTTGATATCATAATTTTCAATTCTTAATTAGCAGATCAATTGTTGATTAGCAGTGGATAATTACACACTATCATCATTCATCAGAGATTAGCCAGCGAAATTATGAAGAATACCATTGCCAAATCTGTCGGTTCATTTATTTTTTTATGCAATATAGAACAATTTATTAATATCCCCACACCCCACGCACCAACCTAAATTAACTAATTTTCACGATATTTTTTTTTTTTAATTTTTTATACTTCATTTAATGTTTAAACAATATACTTTTGCAGGTGAATATCTATCCGATCCATATGTGATCGATTGTCATCTATAACTCTAAAACCTATTTCTTTTGTCCATAGTTTTTTTACCCTATTATAAGAATATGAGTCAAACTTTAAAATATTTGACCATAATGAAATACTCTGAATCCATAAGAATTTTAATTTTTATTTTCATTTTATTTTTTTATTTTTGAAGGGATTTAATCCATAAGAAATAATATAATCATTCACGTGCAATCTTGTTTGATTCGTTTTATTGTATATTTTATTAATATCTAGTTTTTATACTTTTTACAAGTATGAAAATAGTGATAAAACCATTTTAATACACGTCATGAAAATTGTGCAGTGAAAAGTCAAATGAGGCAAAATATTAGTGACTGAGGGAGTATCAAGAAAAGTTTAGTATGTAGGAGAGGTAACTCATTATGAAAGTGTGATTAATGACTCTCCTAAACCATTACCAACAAGCGTAACACTTTGAAAATTGTGAATCGAAAAAATGAATGATGAAATACTAATAAAAAAAATTATTGTAATTATTAATAGATTTAATTGTAAAGTATTGTTTTCAATACAAAAATATGATGATATGAATATTAGTATTTTATAATACTCGTTAATTTATATAATACATAAGTATTGAGATGAGTAATATCTAATACTTGTATAATTTAAGCTCCAATAATGTTACCATTGTTATTCTAATAATATTTTATTTATTTTTAAATTTTAGTTTAGGTGACATGCTCTTACATTTTTTTTTGAGAACACATGCTCTTACACCTTAAAAGTTAAAAATTATTACCATGGAAACGAGAAAATTAGGGAAAATGAGTCCATTTTTTGACTTTTTGAGGATGAATGAGAAAATTGTTTAGCGACCTACAGTAAAATGTTACAGTAATTTTTTTTTTTTTTTCTCTTTATTTATTACTGTCATTTATTACCTCTATCAAAATGGATTATAGACATTATAGTCAACTAAGTCAAAAAAATCTTACACATAACAAGAGAGAAAACTAACTAGTAACAACCAAAATTTTTTTTTTTTTAGTGTTTCCCTCCTCTTCAGTCTCTTTTATTCTTCCTCTTTCCTACAAAGGAAAAAAAAAAAAAATTCCCCACAATTCTGCTTGAAGCAACCCAACTCATCCTCAACAATAATAGACTAATCAAATTCTCAGATCTCATACCCTTTTCTGTGAATTTCAGCAACCAAATTTGCCCCATAAATTTTCTCAAAAAATCCCAGCTCAAATAGATCTCTTTGGGTTTTTCTTATTGATTAAGTTTTAGTGATTTTGGGGGGTTTCCATTGATTTTTTGAGATGAATATCAAGTATAATGCTGGTTTGTTTCTCATTGGAACTGTTGTTATCATTTGGGTCTCTTCTGCAGAAGTTACCCAGGTTAGTAATTAATTTTGTTCAATTGAATAATTTGCTCTTTTTTAGGATTTTATTACAAATTTTGGCTGAATTGCTAAATATAATCATGGGTTGTTTTTATTTTGGTAATTTGAAATTGGTTTTACTGGTTAGTGATATTTGGTTCAAATTTTGATGTGCGTCTGTATCTAATAGTTCAAAGTTGGAAGCTACTGTTGCATTTTTTTTGGATGCGTGTGTGTTAATTTTAGTAGAACTTCTGTTGAAAATTTGGGAATTGGAGTTGATATTTTGATAATTTTTCGTTGTTATAATTTGCAAATGGTACATTTGTTATAATTTTTATTTACTGGAAATGGGGTTTATAATAGAAGATTAGGGAAAATTTTGCATTTGTGCAGTAATGGCTCACCCAAATGCTTCATTTAAATAGATGTATAACATAAAATATGTTTGATGAGATGATGACTTTATTAAGATGGAGTTCCAAGTATACAACAAGGGATGGTAATTGACCAAAGATTGACTGTTGAAATTGGAGAGAATCAGGTTGATATCAGTCAATTGTTCGAGTCCCAGCGTTGTGTCGTATCGGGGTCTGATGAACTCTTTCGAATCCCAATACAATTACAATTTACCTGAAATATATTTTATATCTTCCATCCATTTAGACTGCATAGCTGTGGTCATGTAGAAGTGGATATAATCCTTCAGCTAGGCTGGAGAGGACTGTTCTACTTATTTGTCCATTTGGATATAGTCACTCTGTCTAAAAATAATAATCACGTGCTATTTTGGGATGTCAGGAAAACACTCTCCTCTTTCAAATAATAGTTTGGTGAATATGGTATTCAGAAGATTCCTTTACTCCTTAGCTTAAAGTGAAGAAAAAGGAGAATGTGAGAGTATGAATGTATTATAATGGGTGTTTAAGTATGAACATGTCATATTGTTTACTATGGGAGGTGGCACAGTATGTCAATTCTTCCTAGACCAGGGTGTATATTTTATGTGAATTTGTCACTTAGATAAAGTTATCTAATCAATGAAGTAGCAACTTGCATGTATTGAATAGTATATCACAGGTGGAAACACACGACTTTCGTATAGGGTGGGTGAAAGATCAGTTATTGGGTAACAGAGTCAGCAACCCCACTTAGATGGATCTGGAGATTAAATAGCTTTATGATTTCATTCTGGTATCTGAGATAGTTTTTTGCAAATTTGTGAACAATCTGAGGAGTGCTTAGGAATAGGGAAACAGTTAGCAAGTAGCAACAAAATATATATACTGTATGTATATGATCATTACACGATGTAAACTGGGCGTTGGAAATGAGAGCTTGTGACCACACGAGTTCAATGATTTAGTTTTGGATTTCATGTTGAGCGTTACCGATCATTGTGATATTTCTGATAAAGATGAAGAGAGCATCACTATTGGAAACTACAGGGTTGTTGAGCCTTGGGGGGAGAGGGGCTGGTGCAATGCCTTGAGTGAAGGAAGAGGATGGAATGACCGTAGAAAAACCTTGGTGCTTAATAGACCGTTACAAGACTAAAGCAAATTACAGAGACACCTTACTGATAAGTGTGAAGGAGGTGTACTCTGTTCAATTTGTTATATTGCGATAAACTATCTCAGCAGCCTCAACTAATTCATATTCCTTGCCCTGAGAGTGTATTCAAGTGATGTATTCAAGGTTTATGCTCTAAATTGAAGTTTTACATGTGAAGATACAGCTTACATCTATGAATATTTTTCAGCTTTGCAAAGTTGTATCTATTTTTTGCTTCAAAATTACTTTTTTTTTTTATTGTGTGCCAACATGATTGAGGCATATGTTTGTCCATAGTCTTCCATACCTTGTCTGACGCCTGCAAATATCTGCCATGCAGGACATATATAATGCATATAGACAGCCATTTGCAGTGACATATCTTGGGGCATCTCTAATGGTGGTTTACCTTCCCATATCCTATATTAAAGATTGGATTTATCGGAAAATGAAGAATTGCTCATCAAGGAATGGGAAACTTGCTGAAACTGTGAAAGATTCTGCGGACATACTTGATTCTCCTCTTAAATACGTTGAGCAGAAAATCTGTGCAATGGAACTGGAAGGGACTCCCATTAAAAAAAACTGTGACTTGAACCTTTCTGTGGGAGAAGAAAAACCTTTTCTTGACGACGGTTTGAGGAAGCCTGAGAGGGAGCTCAGCAAATGGGAAATTGTTAGATATGGATTATACCTTGCCCCTCTTTGGTTTGCAGTTGAGGTAACTAAACTTCAGATTTTTGTCTATTAATATTTCTTTTCTGTTTGGATAATCTATTCTTGTCTACTTTTTTGTTCATCCATTTAATTGTTATAAGTTTGTTGTTTGAACAGTTAAATCTTTTGCTTTTTCTCTGTTATTTGTGCTTCTTCAAGTCTTTCTTTTCTTGAGGTGCTTTGAATTCTGTTTGTGTTTTGCATTCAATCATATATATTCTGCTGATTTTGGTTAACTGGTTATGCTTTAATATAATGAGTGATTAAAGATCCAAACCTTGACAATTGTTCATGATATTTATGTTCAAGTTCCACAATTGGTTACAACTTACAAGTAATTGGTGTTCCAAAAGCATGCTTAACAAATTAATTAGTCTGATTGTATGTGGAGTATGGAGAAGTGGTGGTTTAATGGCTAAATGGTTCAGGAATAATGTTTTATGTAGAGAAGGAATTTCTTTTAAAAAGTCTTGTTTTAGGTTACAGATGATTTTCTTTGGACAAGAACTATATCAAAAGTTCTGGTAGATTTGAATTTGCCGTTGAAAGCTTGAAACTCAGCAGGTTGAGGTTGCACTGTGGAAGGGAATCCTGTTTGCTAATACATCTCATCTGTTCCCTTGATCTGCTTTGTACAGCAAAATTTATGACATGAAAATTTAATTTCCTGTAGTATCTCTCAAATGCTGCCTTGGCACGTACCAGTGTTGCAAGTACGACAGTCTTATCCTCAACCTCTGGACTTTTTACTCTTTTCATTGGAGTGCTCCTTGGAGAGGATTCACTGAACATGGCTAAGGTTGTTGCTGTATTTGTTAGCATGGCCGGTGTCGTCATGACTACTTTGGGGAAAACTTGGGCCTCAGATGAGTCGGAACTTAGTAGTTCAAGGTAAATCTTCTGAAGTGTCTGTGATTTTGTCATTTCTATTAAGTACATCGGTAATGTGTCAGGTGGTATGCTACAGGATGATCCACTTTACTTCTGTTTCAGCCCCATCCCCATTTTTCTAGTGCAAATATAGGAGCACAATAAAAGATTACTTATCTTTGAAAAATCCATTATGTCAAGTTAGTATTGTTTTGGTTGCACAATATTTGGTTGCAATTTATATAAATTAGCAACTGTTTACACAAGTTATTGTCTTGCATGTTCATTGCCATTCATCAGTTTAGAATTTAATGCTACAAGTAGCATACTTTAATTTAAGACTAATTGTTCCATTGTTGTTTATGGACCATTTTACTTTGTCAATAGTTGACTTGCCATTATTTCCTCATAAGCTTTTCCTTAATCATTGTGACTATATAGTAAACTGTGCAATTAATGTTATCACATTTAGGCCATAGAAATGTGGAGAATCAATTTAAGAATTGAATCCCAAGCTGGTGTGGAGCGTAAGCTAGCATGTAAATTAGTTAGGGAGGTAATTATGTCACCTGCCAAATTGGAGTGGCGTATACTCCTTTATGTGGGCTTTTGGTTCCTCCACCAAGTTTTAACAACCTCCATCACCACCTTTTAGAAGCCGCCTAATTGATTCTTGTAACCCCATATGGCCGTATTTCATTCCTTTCATTCCAAGCATAGCCTTATATAGAAATTCTAGTTTAGATGCTAGTTTGGCATAGCAATAAGCAGGCATTTGCATAGGTTATGATGTAACATCTCTTTAGCTGAAGCCCAAAGTATGCTATTCACATTCTGGCATCTACTAGGATACCTCATGCTGCTTCTGGTGTTCTTCTCAATGTTTGTGATTTAGGTTACTGTTTGACAATTCAAATTTTTTAAATTTTTTCCAGCGATGGTCAACGTTCACTCGTGGGGGATCTTTTTGGGCTTCTCTCAGCTATGTCATATGGGCTTTTCACTGGTAAGATGCTACATTTAAAACTTCAATTTGTTATCGTTAGCACCCTGCAGCGACGCCCCCTGCAATGCTTAAGATCCTATTAATTTTGCAGTGCTACTGAAAAAGTTTGCCGGTGAGGAAGAAGGAAAAGTGGATGTTCAGAAACTTTTTGGATACATTGGTTTCTTTACTCTAATAGCCCTTTGGTGGCTTGGTAAGTGATCTTTCTTTGATTTTTCAAGTGAATCTGGAACAAAGGGTAAAAATTGTGATAAAAATGCTAGTGCAGTGCTGATTAACTGTTTCTGATTCTCTTTGCTTGCTGAAGTATGTGATTTTCTTCCATGTGCCTTGTGAGGAGCTATATTTTATTTGCCTGTTTGGTTGAATGACAGTTATTCTGCTATTTGTCTTTCAGTGTGGCCATTGACGATTTTAGGGATTGAACCAAAGTTCACTATTCCTCACTCTGCTAAAACAGACGAGGTTGTTCTTGCAAATGGACTGATTGGAAGCGTTCTATCTGATTACTTTTGGTATTTAGTCCTTTTCCAAATCCTTCTAATAAATGGTTCATCTTTTCAGTTAACTCTTAACATACTAATTCACCTATTCTTATCAGGGCATTATCTGTTGTATGGACAACTCCTCTGGTTGCAACTTTGGGTATGTCGCTTACGATCCCTCTTGCAATGTTGGCTGATATGATTATACACGGTCGGCATTATTCCATAGTCTATGTTCTTGGCTCTATCCAGGTAACTTCATCAATTTAGATTCAAATTTAATTTATTGTATATAGTAAGAAATATGATTGACAAGATAATTTCCATTTCCAATTACTGACAAAGAGAGTTGTTTCTGCTTTCTTTACTTATTGAGTTTGCATAAAGTCCTTATGAGTTGAGTCTCACACTTCCTATTCTCTACTGAAATGGTGGTTGTGTTTCTTAATGCCTTCCTCTTTTTTCTCATGGTCTTGTTTGTGGTACTACTAAGAGTATAGTAGTATACTGTTGGATGATACCCTTACTATAATCTGGCCGATGTTCTGACAATTATTTCCACTGACAGCCCTTTCGGTGTTAATTTGACATAAATGCCTCATCTGAATGCCCAGTTTATGCATCTCCGCTTACATAGATGCAGTTTTCCTTCATTACTTACTAGAGTTACTATCACCTCAAAAGTCAAAATACGAGCTTCTTTGGCAAAAAAAATTAAATTTACAAGTGGAGATGCTTTATCATGGACATTTATGTAGGATAATTTGTGCCAGAACATAATTTTATTGTCATGCTGCTAATCATTAATTTGTCCAAATCAAACCTTAAATGCCTAGGCTTAGATGACTTAGTGATATTCAAATATTCATACTTCTTTCTCCTTCATGTTGGGATTCCAGATGTCCTGTTAAAAACACTTGTAGGCATGCATTGTTTTTGAGGGTTTACAATTTTCAATCAATATTGCTTTAACATATGTTCATGGGAATGCTCAACATTTCAGGTATTTGGCGGATTTGTAATTGCTAATCTTTCAGATTGGTGCTCAAAGAAGCTGGGTTTATAGCATTGCCGGAACTACACTTGCTGAGTATCATATTCTTTTTTCTCGTCATCAGCTTTGCTCTTTGGCGAGAAGTGTCATAAAAACAGGATCGTGATCCCACAAGGGGTAATCGACATTTGCACAGAATATAAAAGAGCAAAACAATGTAATCTAATCATGTCTTGGTGATATATGAATAATGATATATAGTCAGAAGGTTAGTTACCAACAGGAAAGAAAGAATAATTCAGTTTTTGTATGGGTCTTGGCGTCTTGCAGTCGCACCCTCTGTGTATATAGTTTGATACTGTATTAATCTGAAATAAAAATTCAAGTCAATTTTGTTTCAAAGTCACTGTGAAGTTTGATTTTCACCTCCCAGTTTCAGTTTTTTTTTTCCTTCCTTTTTCTGGCTAGGAAGGGTCCAAATTTGGCATCCCAAGCACAATCTATGGGCCAAAAAGACCCCTCCGACCCTCCCTATTAGTCCCTAATTATCTTAACAGTAAGAGTAAACCCTAAAAAAGCGTGATCACTATCACAACTCACAAGATTCACAACATAAAAAGGACATCAAAAACCAAAGTTTTTTTTTTTTTTTTTTTTTTTTTTTTTTTTTTTTTTACCAACGTTAGAAAGTTAGAAAATTGGGTAATGAACTAATGATATATACAAACCTTGTACAAACGTTTTTAATGCATTTCCTAGTGTGATATGGAATACAAACCTTGTACAACATCAGTATTATTAATCCTTAACTATGTTTATTTTATCCTTTTCTAGTTTCTTATTAAAAGTCGTTAGGTTGTATATATCACTTTTCTATAAATTTCCTCTATATCTCAAAAATTGCAATAGTTTGATTTTTACACTATTTATATAATAATTTTGATCAATTTCAATAGTTTATCAAAGTATACTTTCATTTGTATGAAAGTTTTAGTAGTGAGTTATGTAAAATCAAATATATTGTTATATATGTGCATTGACAAATGTACTAATCAAAATGTTGTAATTTCGAGGTAACAGAGGAGTAGAGGATGCATGGGACTCCCTATGTTTCCGATTAATCACAACATGTTGACATTTACACCATTTATCATGTCTTCAACAAAATATTAATCAAATTAGATAAAACATCGTTAAATTATCATTTGTAGTGTACATTTTTGAAATATTACTATGTATATTTAATTTACTAAAAGAGGTTACTCATGTAACCACAGTTGCGCAATGACACCTAAGTGCCAATCACTAAACTACTTACTATACAACCCTTTACCTATTCAGTCTTCACCAAAGGTTTTAAAATGAGCATATAGACTTAAACTAAAAGCGGATTGACTGCTTCGAACTCTTCTGCTATGGCGACGATAAGCAGATCCAATCTTCTTCTTTCTCTAACGCTTTGTTTCTGCGTTCATCTGCCAACAACACTCGCTTTTTCATCTGGGTATTTCTAATTATCCTTTCAATTTTATTATTTGACAGTTATTTTCTTCATTTTTCGACTAAATTGGCAAATTATTGAGATCTACATCATTTTAATTTCTGGGAATTTGTTGATTACTTTGATTTTTCAGGCTGAATGATGGTTTCACTATCAATGGTCGAGTAAAAATCCCAAGTACGATTATTCTGACCCTTTTTTTTTCAATTAGTTGTTAGATATATGCTTTCTGTTCTGAATAATTTAAATTGAGAATTTATGTCAAGAATTAGTGTGCAGTTTGCTAGTTCTTGAATTGGGAGACTGGGTTTTATGTGAGTTTGAATCTGATTATGGAAACAATCATAGCACAACAGATTATAGGTTGACCTAAATGAATTATAATTGAAGACATTGTTGTTGATTTTTGAATTACTTGAAGCCTTTGAATATTGTAAGATGAGATAGTTTTGTCTATAGGTTTTACTGATCCATTCAACATCACTCGAATCCCTCCATGTATTGTGTAGTGTGGCCGTGGGCTGGGGGGCTAACTGGGTAGCCTATTTGGTTGGAGTTAGTCTCTTTGGATTAATTTGACATCTCATATCTCGCGGTAGGTCAGTGTCTTGTTGATGGGTGTTAGACTGTTAGCATTGGGTTGATGTATAAGGCTGGTAACTCTCGTCTTTTGATGAAATCTAGTGAAATGATAACCAAACTAGCTATGGTTTTTGTGGCAATATTGATACATATTGTGAAGAGAGTTTGAGATTCAAGAATAAGAAAGAGTTCTCGATAGTAGCTTTCTTTGGAATAGTTTGTACTTGGTGATAGGTATAAAAAAAAGTATGTATGATTCGGTAAAGGAATGTAATGTGGAATATGTATGAACTGTGAAAGGTGTTTTAATTGGTGCTAATACTAAGGGCACTGCCAGAAAAATAAAGTGATTGATCAATCCTATATAGGGTTTTGGTTTAAAGTGATGAAGAACTCAGCTTTAAAGGTCTGAGTAGAAGCTCCGTTATCAGTTCTTTGGTCTTCAACAATGGTACACATATTCTTAGCATGCAGAATTTGTATTTCAATCATCCATCATGGTGAATTTACACAGGAGTAGACAAAACATTGAACCAAGCTACAGCTTAATAGTTTGACTCAAGAGATATCAAAGTTAGTTGGGTTATAGAAGGTGATTAACCAATAACGCTATAATTAGGTGTAAAGAAGAGAGATTTGCATTAGAATGATCACCAATTTATAGTTCCCAAACCAACACAAACTAAGCCTTCTGATATCAGCTAGATTATAATCGCTGCTAATTAAGTAGCATATGAAATCTGCGCAATGCTCTTGCTTTCAACTACCTAACACTACTTCCATGATGGTTTCAAAACTGTATTTTAGGGAGCAAATTTGTAGGCAAAGATGAAATAGATGTTCTAAGAGATATAAATAATTACAAAATGACTAGTATGAATAACTCAATGGCAGACAGTGAGTGACTACGTTACATTGTGATAATCTGTATGAACTAATCATTAGTCCAGATATAATTCACATAGCTCAAACCCCTCATAATTAAGGATGTGATCTACTTCGTATCATACAATTCTGCTAAAAAGCCTTCTATTATACTTTGGGCTATTCCCATTTCCTCACATTACTAAAATTCTAGTGAGGATATTTCGGAAATTCAATCACAAACTACTACGGAGTACTATTCTAGAAAAGGTGACAATTTTGTTAAAACATTTTGCAATGGTATATGTGATTATTATTCTCGATGGATAGTTTAGATTACAACCCATGCATAAATGTACTATATCGCTGTGAAAGTGTGAAACTAACTCAGAACTGGATATAAGGAGAAGTTACGTGGGCATTATATTCATCAAATCTGGGAAGTTATTGGTCATTATTCTGTCATTTTCATTTGTAATTGGACATCGCGATTGAGCTTTCCTGATTTAAAATGGGTGAGTGACATGACACACATTGTTGCTTGTATGTGAAAGCTATGTTGTAGTATACGTAGATATGTCAATAACTAACATTATTGATTTCAACTTTATGCACCAGGATCGCATCCCCATATCCTATTACTTTTGCTGATGATGATGCTCCCTTTGCATAATTTCATAGTTCATGTTGACGAAAAAATCCAATAAACTGAATTATATCTTTCCTTGCAGATTTTGGGACTAGAGATTTTGGTTTACCAGCAAAGACTTCAAATATCAAAGTGATACTCAATGGCGGTCAAAGGGTTACACTTTTGAGGCCTGATGGATATTTTTCATTGTATCCTTCCATGTAGATCCTAGAATTTTAAATTTTTTGTTTATTTTGCCTACAGTTTATTTCATTTTAATACTTTGTATAAATCTGTAGGGATAGGGCCATTCCTTTTGAATGGTCTTAATCTGACAACCTTTTGCCAATCCTCAATGACTTGCTGATATTGTGATTTATACATATGCTAATGGCTGAAGAATAAATATCATTTACTTCTTGATTGTCTCTTGCTCTATTAATTATTCCTTGACTATGCTTAAAGCCATAACGTTCCAGCTGGCACACATCTAATTGAAGTGGCTGCAACTGGTTATTTCTTTTCACCGGTATGTCTGTTTTATGGGTTTTTTTTTTTTAAAAAAAAAAATGTTGGGAGGTCAGGTAATTACTGTTTAGTATTTTCCATGTTCTTTGTGTAGGTTCGTGTTGATGTTAGTGCTAGAAACCCTGGAAAAGTCCAGGCTGCATTGACGGAAACCAGAAGAGGGTTATCTGAGTTGGCTTTGGAGCCTTTGAGGGAGGAATACTATTATGAGGTAAACCATGAACTAGTCTTGTTTATCATGGAGTATCATTCTATCCAACAGTAAATTTCACACAATTGCTCATGCTTTGCTAACCACAGAAAAGGGAACCCTTCTCACCCCTGTCTCTAGTGAAGAGCCCTATGGGTCTTATGGTTGGCTTCATGCTTATAGTTGTTTTCGTGATGCCCAAACTAATGGAAAACATGGGTAACTGCTCTGAACTCTTAAATTATTTAACACTCTTCTTGCTTACATAGAATTGCATCTATTTGTGAATTGTGACTGCACCATCTGCTTATATTGTGTATCCAAGAAATAACGGAAGCAAATACCTAATAGTAGTATCCTGGAAAGGATCATTGAGGAGAATTTATGCCACCATTTGCTATATAGCCAGAAAACTTCTTCCTTACCAACTTAATTTTTTTTTCTTATGAGCAACCTGTATAAATGTGTAAATGCATCTCCTTAATAGTATATATTGAACTTGTCATATACTTTGACTCTACTTTAAGTTTGGCTTTTGCTTTATGGAGATCTTTAAGTATATAATGTATGTGTATCCCTGACAGATCCTGAGGAAATGAGACAAGCTCAAGAGCAAATGAGGAGTCAAGGTGGACCATTGGCAAGCTTGTTAGGTGGTGCTGCTGCTCCGAGAAACTGACGTGCCAAGGTTTAGACTCGTGGGACTCAATCTTACATATTAGACAATACTAGCATAAAATTTTGCGCCTTTGAGGGTAGGGCATGGCCGCATGGGTCAAGGTTGAAGATTTAAATTTTTATTGATTCATATCAAAGCTCTACTATAGGTCTAAACTTTTCAAGGATTGGGAAAAGGTAATTTTGGTGGTCTAAACTTTAAAGTAATTCTAAAGTTGTTCAGATTTTTTTGCGGTATATGTAATTTTTCATAGGTTCAATAATTTAAACATTAATTGCACCAATCAATGAAAACGTTTGTTAAGCTCTCTAGGATATTACCTTTTTAATTTTTAGAAATTTCAATAGTACTTTTGCAGCGCAAATGAGTGGCCCTTTTATTTTGTAATGGAACGTGCTAGTTAGGCTGTCACCTGTTTAATTTTTTTTTTTTTTTTTTTTTGAATCAACCAACTGTTTTAAGTTGATCTTAAGATCAATAGGATAAAATGTGAAGTTAGCTGAATGAACAAATCAATCCTGCAGACCTATGTTACCCTAATTCATTACTCTATCCTAACTCGAGATCAACTTGTACACCTAATAACAGGGGTCAGGTAAGTTGGATTTTGGGTTAACCAGTTAGTCAGTTACCACTTAAATCTAAATGTGAAAATATACTTGTACATTAAGGGATATACTTCCTCCATATTGGTTCTTAACTTGACCAGTCAAAGTAGGTCAAGTAAAGACTGGGAGTAGAATTCATGAATAATATTCATGCATTTGCAAATCCATGTTCCTTCGCTTTTTTACAACCGAAAAGGGCAGTCCTGCATTCAGCAACTAGAGGATCCCATCGAGCCCTCATCCTTCGAGCTACAACAAAAGGCACCTCTCTCAATTATATACTTGTATAAAAACATTTCTTTTTCTACAAGTTTTATGAAAAATACTTAACATTATGTGGTACTCCGTTTTGAATTTACTAGTAGTATGAAAAATACGGAAAGTTATTAGGAAATAGGAAAGTCAAAAGTAATTGGAATTAATAATTGTTTGGAATATTATTAGGATTTAGGAAAAATTATCTTTTGTATTTGGATAGTTTTTGTCTCCTATAAAATCCAATTTTCAGAGAATAAAGAGTTTTCCGTACAAACTACAAAGCAGGGGAATTCCATGAGACAGAATAATAAGGTAAGGTTTTCGGTCTTTGATTTTGAGACTAATTAATTGCTTAATTGTTATTCCCAAACTCAATTTTTAAATTGTCATCTTCCCTTGAATAAGATTTTTTTTTATTTTTTTTGGTGCAATTGAATAAGATTATAGAAGTAAGAACTCTACTGGACTTTTTTTAATTAGGCATAATTGAGTTGTGATTAATCAATTTTAAATCTTTCTTGTTTGAATTTTCTGAGTATTTATGTTGTTTAATGTGGCTGGCGTAGACGGCTGATTGGTCTATGTTGCCCTCTGATATCCTCGGTGTAATTGCATTGAAATTGAATACCATTGAAAATTTCATCTATGTCTCTTTGGTATGTCATTCATGGAACCGTGTTTCCTCAATGGTTAAACCCGAGTGGAGTCGTGCAGATAAACCAACTACACCTTGGTTGCTGCTTGCAGAGCCGGAGCTGGGCAATAATGACACTACTCACGAGGATTCGAGTCGTAGGAAAATATTCAGCATCAGCAAAAACAAGTGCTACGACATCGTGCTTCCTGAGATAACTGAGGAAAGATGTTGGGGTTCTGTCTTATGGGTGGATTGTGATGCAAGACTTTAACAAGAATGTTAAGTTATTTAATCCTATTACTAAAGCTGAATTAAGCCTCCCTTCGCTGTATGATTTGCCAGCTTAGTCAGAAACTTACACATACTACGTCCCTGATCAAGGATACGGATCGTCAGATGATGAAGACGGATCATCAGACGATATGATGGAGAGATATCCCTGGGCTATGAAAAATTCGTTGTATTAAAGATTCCTGGAAGCAACAACACTGATGAGTTGGTTGTGTTTGTGATCCATTTACCCAATTGATAAAGCATGGACCGAAGTAATCGAACCATGGCCACGAAATCCACACCGCCCTATTATTCATCATGCCATGGTTTGGGATGGAAAAGTAGTAAAATCTTGTGTAGTCATATTGAAGGATCAGGTAATGGAGGGATTGCATATTGTGATATAGCTAGTATTGCGGCTAATTCTTCTAATCCTGTTATGGCTAAAGATTGATGAGGTTGTATACCTTTGGGACAATAAACATTGCTACCGTACCATTTATTTCAAGGTCTATAAGCATGTTCGTGACACAACATCTTCGTCGTGGGAAAAAGTTGAGGATTTGGGTAATTTCTTGTTATTTGTTGGTGATAACTATGCTACTGCTGTTCATATATCAAAGGCTCCAAATTGCCAAAAGAACGCTGTATACTATATTGACGATGAACAAAGAATGCATTGGGGTGTTTCAATGGGAACCGACGTCCGTGGACATGATATGGGTATGTTTGACATAACATCCGGAGAAATCAGATCATTCTATGAAGGTGGTGATATAATTTCCACATGTACTTTGCTCCGATATGGTTTATGCCCAACTTTTAGATTATGCTTGTTTTTGTACAGACTTTCTTTTCTTTCTTAATTGCAAGATAAGTATTATGCTTTATCTTTGTTCTAGTGGTTAACCATGAAATAGTAATCTTGTAGCACCATTTTTGTACTTATGTTTGTTCAATAATTTGTATTTGAAAAATAATACGTAGTAATAATAATGAGAAAACCTTAATCAACAATTTGTGAATTTATTCTTTCAAAAAAAATAAAAAGAATTTGTGAATTTATGTTGTCAAAAAAAAAAAAAGCCACTTCTATACCATGCCCCAAAACTGACCTGATAAACCAGATTCGAAACTGATTTGAATAAAACTCGATTCAGATTTAAAACTGTATGGAGTAGGGGTGCTTGTGTGACACGACAACTCGCACGCTACTCGAGCTCGAGATTGACTCGAAATGTTAATGAGTCGACTCGACTAGCTTAATAATCGACTCAAAAGCTCGTGAGAAACTCGAATTCCTTTATACATTGTTATATTTAAAAATAAAAATATTTTGATTCAATAACTTTTTTTTTATATGTAATATTTATGTACTCTATATATCATCATAGACATATTTCTTATGATATAGAATTAAAGAGAAGGAACAAATGTTACACTAAATACGGGATTCTAGCATTCTACTAAGACCAAATCAATTAGCAAGCTACTCGAGATTGACTCGGTCAAAACTCGACTCTGTCAAACCTCGACTTGGTCAAAGCCCAGTCAAAACTTGACTCGATTAAGCTCGACTCGATATGCTAACGAGTTGAGTCGAGCTACATACCCCAAACTCAAACTTGACTCGCATCATAAGCACCCATAGTATGGATACAATAAATTTGCGTGAATCAAATTTAAAAATTGCTCCGGACCAATCCGATTTCACCAAACTCGACTTGAACATCCGAATTGACACCTCACTCGTACTTGTTCACTTGATCAGGTAACAGCTAAAAAAAAAACCTCTTACGGAGTACTTAAACGACAACGTTCTATTTTGATTGAATTCCCTCTTAAATTACTGCTTTTCACTAAACTTTAAGTCGAAGCTCCCAACCTTGAAGTGCTCTGATCGGCAGAAATGGAGGGTTCACTGCCATTGACGACGGCGGCGAAAGGCGGAGGAGAGAGAAGAGGCGTCGGAAGATCATCTGCTCACAATTCTTCTTCGTCTTCTTCTTCCGCTAAACCTTCTCTTCTCTTGGCGTTCCTCTCTTGCGTCGCTTGTCTCTACGTCGCCGGCAGGTCAATCATTCTCTCTCTTACTTTTGTTTCGTTTCGAATTTTTCGTAATTTGTTGATTTTTCGATCAAACTGGAGAAATTGTATGATTTTGGGAGAATTTTGGCTGTAATTTATGTAGAATTCAGCGCTTTTATTATGTGAGAAATTAGAGTGAATTCTCAATTTTTGATTATTTTTAGATTATTTTGACCTAATTGAAGAATTAGGCTGTTCATTTGATTGATGTTAGAGGCTGTAATTAGATCAATTTCTGGTGTTTTCAGATCGGATTGATGACATCTTCTCATTGTTATTACGAATTAATGATCATTTTGAACTTTTGTTGATTGATCATCTGTATTTATTTTACTACTTGAACTTCCTGATCTAATTTCATTGGTTTTTGATCTGTTTTCATCATCAATCAGTAGCCAATCAATCTGGAACTGTGTTAATTAAGTTATTAGCGTCCTTTTCCTTCAATTTAGTTAAACGTCCATAGGTTTGGATTTGGCATTTCTGAGTGAAATTTTTGTAGGTTTTAGATCGAATTCAGTTATTTGTCGTGTCGGATGTTAGCTCCTTATGGTTGTACTCCAGCACTGTAGTGTCTAATAATGATTTCGAGAAGAAGATATGCTTTTACATGTGTGGAAGATATGTGTGCGTGTTTGTTAATGTGTGCTCTTCCTGTCTTTAAACTTCCGTGTCACATAATTAGATTGTGGCAGGATGCTGAGAACCGAACTTTACTGGTCAATCTTCTCCAGAAAAACTCAGACCAGGTTTGTTGTGCTATAACTGGATTGGAAATTTGGATTTGTATCGTATTTACACAAAACAGTTGATGCAGGAAGGACACGATAAGATTATATAGGTCTTTCCGTGTTGTTGAGCTAGCAATGACTGATAATTTTCCATTAGTGATTTTGGTTTCTTCAGTTCTGGTTGATTATAATACTCGTGTCCTTATTTTGTTTCCATTCTCTTTGCAGAGACCAAAGGTTCTTACTGTAGACGATAAGCTTATGGTGCTAGGATGCAAGTACTGCTCCCATCCTTTTTTTGTATCTGTACCTTCTTTGGTCCAAATGCTTACAGCTTGTGGATGCTTTTGTGTTGCATTGGTCATTTTCACTGATATTTACAATGTTGGTTGTTTAAGAGATTTGGAGAAAAGGATTGCCGAGGCAGAGATGGACTTGACACTGGCTAAGAGTCAAGGATATCTAAGAAATCAGCGGAAACAAGATGGTTCTGTGGATAGGAAGCTTCTTGCTGTTATTGGAGTTTACACCGGATTTGGAAGCCGCTTAAAGCGCAATACTTTTCGAGGCTCATGGATGCCTAGAGGTTAATGTCCATCACATTCTCTTTATTTAGTGTCATGCTAACAATCTTAGCACGTACAATTGTCACCCATTATACTACTTTATGCTAATGTCTTTCATAGAAATTTGGATCACTGACATAATTTCATGATATCTACCCTTTATTACTAGTTACTAGAGTACTATGCATCTAGCCTTTTGTTTTACATAATCTCATGATATCTTCCTTTTTTTTTTTTTTTTTTCCTCATACAAGTAAAATTGGTTGGAGAACTCTTTTTACTTTGTAATCAATGATCTTGTGTCTGTTTTCTCATCTCCAGTTTCCCTTCCTCTTCCTTCTCTCATATCCTCAATTGAATTGAACGTTGTTCTTAATTTGTGTGGCCATTTATCCCTATTGCAAAGTCATACTTTTGGCTCTCTGGTATTCCATAACTTGCATGGCTTATCATATGCAATTTATGAATGGTCTCTAAGAGTCTCGGTTATTTATTTGGCATTGTCTGCTGTTGTACTAGTATTTTTATCAATTGATGAAGCCTGGGTGATGGGCCTGTGATAAATCATTACTGATTTACTAGAGATGTTTGACTTATCGGTGGAGAAGCCCTTTGACCTTAATTTCTTTTAATGTGGGATTTAGTACCTTCAGCAAAATATGTTCCACTAAAATTTTGCTGCCTGCTTGGTTTGCAATTCCTTTGATTTTTATTTATAAGTTGCCGATGTGTATGACTGTATGGTTTTGTGAATTATTAAAACTCTGTATCTGCAACTTAGCATGTGTATCACAAGCTCCATGATTACTGTTTCAGGTGACAACTTGAAAAAACTGGAGGAGAAAGGAATTGTCATACGATTTGTTATTGGTCGGAGGTTTTTTCTGCTGCTCAACACCTTTTCTGGTCTTTGTAGTTGGCACTTTGCAAGATGCTGAACATTGCTATCATTTTTTGCTTTCCTATTATTACTCTCTTGATACTTTCTTAGACATTACTCATTCATTGACTTTCTGAAATGCAGTCCAAATCGAGGTGATAGCTTGGATCGTGGCATTGATGAGGAAAACCGCCAAACTAAAGATTTCTTGATTCTTGTGAGTGACTGTTAGCTCAATGAAAGACCTTGATTGTTTTTTTGTTTTTGTTTTTGTTTTTATTTTTATTTTATTTTTATGTTTTTTTACTGATTGCTGATGTTGCTTTGGCTAAGTGCTTACTTGACCGTGTTCTTGAAAGACTGCACTCAAATAAACAATTATATGTTTCCCGTGATTTTTAACTGCTCCTTGTAATTTGAATGATTTTCATTCTTGTATCTTGATTCATATCATATTTTTTTGTTTATCTTGAATACCTTCCTTGTGAATAGCTTAGATATATAAATATTCGCAGATGTTTGTTTATTTCTGATTTCGGCTTTAATCATTATTTGTGGCTATGTGCTAAGTGAAGGGGTAAAACAAAATATTTGTTTTCCCTTAACTAAGTATTAGTTTTCACCTTTGTATCTGGATATTAGGTATATGCTATTTATTTGGTTCTGCGAAGTGCTAGTATGGCAAATTATGTCTAAAGGATGTGCTTGTAACTTGCCAAAATCTGGTTGGCTTTACTCATGTAATGCATGCATTTTCTAGGAAGGGCATGAGGAGGCTCAAGAAGAATTGCCAAAGAAAGCGAAGTTCTTCTTCAGTACTGCTGTACAAAATTGGGATGCTGAATTTTATGTAAAAGTTGATGATAGTATAGACCTTGACCTCGGTAAATCCGTGAAAGTCAACTCTTATTCATATGTGTGATTTATACACGACTTAAGTGTCTTCTAATGTTTTTAGCTCATCATTTGCTTTCCTTTTATTTATCAGATGGGTTAATTGGACTTCTCGAGAGCCGTCGTGGTCAGCAGAGTGCATATATTGGATGTATGAAGTCCGGAGACGTGATAGCAGAAGAGTAAATCTTATGTCTTTTACTAGATTTAGCTTATATGTGTGTGTGTGTGTGTAAGCTTTAACATGGGTTTGAGCTCTTATTGTAGCTTATCACTTCATCAAATAACAATTTGAATACTATGTCTGGAATTTTATGATGTTCATTATTTTCCAGGGGAAAACAATGGTACGAGCCTGAGTGGTGGAAGTTTGGTGATCAGAAATCGTAAGTTAGACCTTTTACAAATTCGATCTTTTGGTATCTCTTGTAGTTGTAATATGCTTGTGTGAGGTTAATCTGCTGATTGTTATGCAATAACTAGCTAAGTTATGGTGTACTCAATCTTTTGCACTCATAATATGCTTATCCACGGCATATTGTCTTCAATTGTAGAATATGAACTTATTTTATGTCAGCTATTGACACCTTTATATTTTTCCATTGTTTGCATCAGGTACTTCCGACATGCTGCCAGTTCACTTGTAATACTGTCCAAAAGTTTATCAGAGTACATTTTTGTGAACAGGTAGTTTTTGCCTATACTGTTTTTACCCAGATAACATGATTATAATCAAATTGAACTATTGGGTGGTTGCAGTCCTTTAAAGTTTTCTTGCTGAGCTGGAAATGGCATTTTTAGAATAAGCTAAATATTGATTTGCAAGTTTGCAACCAATAAGGATATCTGAAATCCCCCTAACTTCCCCCTATCGTGATAAAAAAACAGAATCGCACTAGTAACAGGATCATACTTCCAGCCTAGTAGTTGGGACTTGAGAGTTGGGAGGCTTTTTACTATGCTCGTATTTTGAATTGGGCATTCAAGGTTGTTAGGTTGATTTTTAGAAGTGTTTTCTCACTAAAATGTTTTGTCTATTACTCCGTATTAATTTCGAATTGGGCAAGCATTTTAGGATTTTCTAGCTCCTAATACTTTATTTGTTCCTTCCTGTAGTGTATCTTTAAAGACGTATGCACATGATGATACATCAGTTGGTTCATGGATGATGGGATTGCAAGCCACTTACATAGATGATAACCGTCTTTGTTGTAGTACCAACCGACAAGGTATTATTGTATTTTTAGACAATTTTTCTGTCAAAATCTCAAAGGTTCAATTTTAATTTATTCTATTTTCTTGCAGACAAAGTTTGCTCTATGGCATGATCCCGGTGAAGGTAGAGAGAGGAACCAGGAGCATTCGGGGGGTCGGGGGTTAAGTAGGAGCTGTATAGAAAGAACGTGAGGCCTCCATAAGCCATACCAAGAAAATTATTATCAGTACATCCATTATTATTGATTATAATACAGGCCTTGTTCACACAGCTTATATTAAGCTCATGAATGCCAAAATTTATGAGTCCGATATGGAGATATATTGTGATGAGTGCTGATCATTATCACATGTCTCATCTATTTCATTTTCATTTTAATTTCTTCATAAACTCAGATTCACAAGGTTCTACTTGCCTTTATTTTTCCCTAATTTGACTTTGATCACCTCTTAATGCATTTCCCTTGATATTAACACACAAATATTGATTTGATTACATTTGTGATTCGTTCCATCAATAAAATTATATTTGGTTTTATTTTATAAAAAGCGTAATAGTTTAACAAGCCTAAAGCTATCTTCTCTCAAGAGTAAACAAATTCAGATTAGGTTTCAAAAAAAAAAAAAAAAAAAAATTCAGATTTCAAATCTTACTCGAGTCTGTTTTGAAAAGAAAATCATGGAAGTTGATGATACTAATGTGAACGACAAAAGTGTTTTTTTGTCTACAATGCAACAACTATCGCTTGCGCATCTACTGTGCTAGCATTATACCATGTCCATGGACTATTGATCCATCAAATACATTAAGGCCAAATCTTAATAAGGGTAGTAAGGTACATGTGGGAAAGATTGGCGAGTATCATGCCGTCTTTGCAATCCAGCAGGATCTGTATAAGGAGCAGTAGGAATGTAAGGCTGATGGGGAGGCATTGCACTATTACTTGGTCTATAGGATGAAGTATACGGAAGAGATGTTTGAAAACTAGTAGCAGGATGGTATATAGTTTCAGCATGAGCCTCAGGTCCAAATCCTGCAGCAAGATTGGCAAGGGGATGTGGTCGGCTCATTGAGCCGGAGTAGATCGGTGTATCAACATGCATGCTATCATGCATATATCTTCCAAAACCTTGTACTGGTGGATTTAAAACAGAAAATGGACCTGCCGGGAAATTTGGAGCATGTCCTAAATTATGAACATGACTTCTCTCTGATCTAAACCTACTATGACCTTGGATATGTAGATGATTAGAATGAGAGGGCAGTTGGTGCTGTGGAAAATTGGAATCAGCATATTTCATTATTTCATGATTTCTCTCTGGTCTAAGTCCTCCATAACCTGAAAAGGAAATAGGTTGGTGTGGAGGACAGTTCGGTAAAGCATGTCTCAAAGTCTCAACATGAGTTCTATCGGGTATAAATCCTGCAGAACCTTGAGCATAAGGGTTAGAATAGGGAGGCGGTTGGCCATCCATAAAATGTGGAGGTAAAATTACTCCAGAGCCTTGGACAGATTTTCTTTTTTTTCTGAACTTCTTTTTTACCCTGCCTGTCCTAGAGGGTGTTGGGACTTTTGTGCTGGTAAGACTATGACAATGCTTACCTTGTTTTCCAGGTCTTTGCTCCTCAGCAGGAGCCCCCTGTGTCGGGCACTTCTTCTTTCTTTTTCGAGGGACGGACTTTGATAGTTTTGAATCATAGGCATTTGCAATTATCTTCTTGGTCGGAGGAGGAACTTTACCAAATAAAAGACTCTTTAAATTGTCAGCACTAATTATTCCCTCGGTAAAGAGCTGAATCTGTTCCACAGAGCGCCGTATACATGAATATATCTTGGTAATTTTAGCAGACTTCACTGCTCTTGCAGTATTCTGGGACCTGTCAGTAAAATCCTCGATCTGCAAGATTTTCAGGCAGGAAGCTATAGGACCAATATGTTCAAAAAAAAAAAAATTGAATAAAAATTTACAGGCATACATTTCAGTTAATAAAGTCGGGCAGCTTACTCTTATCAAACCCGTTGCTTTCCAGTTTTTATATATCCATGATCCCTCATAAGTACTAACACAAATTCCCTTCGACCACAGTGATTCCACTGATTCAATCTATAATGGCAAGAAAAATCAATGGAAGATATCAAAACCAGTGGGAATTGTACAGAACTGCTGACATAGATAAAAACAGGTTCTAAACCAACCATATTATGTAACTCCCTTTTTTGATACAGAACTTAAATGTGTTTTTAAGATGTAGCACATAAAACAGCGAGCATTTAAATTTAGAAGAGAGTAAATTAATTGACTATTATGTCATTATGTACTTCTTAAGAACTGCATAAAATGACATAATGGAAACTTAGAGCAACCGTAATCAATCAATCAATCAATTTAGAGCAACCGTAATATGAGAGAAATTATCAAAAACTTACATAACTCCATAAACCTACCCCATATTTTGAAACCGAGATAATATCATAATAATTAAAATGATTACCTTAACCAACAGAGATACAAAGAGCTCAGCAAGAGATTCTTTATTTCGTTTTCCATATTTCAAAAATCTAGGAATTATTTTCTTCACAGCCTCCGGGTCTGTTCCATCTGGAGCGCGTGACGTAAAATCAGTAGTCAAAACAAAAATGCTGAAAATTCGAGATCATCTCTATACGACTATTCCCAGCATAATATTCAATAAAACCAATGGCAAATTCAGAAATGACGTGTGCACAAATTACCCCAGGGTATCATTTTGTCTACAGGAAAAACAGAGGTTCGCAAGTATTGCAACTAATATGAGACTGACTATTAGAAAAATTAAGCTCTACTTCTCTCAAGTGCAGAAGCAAACAACAATAAAAAAAAAAAAAAAAAGAAAAAAAAGAGGATCCATCTAATGTTTATACTCGTGATAAGGAAAAAAAAAAAATACCTTTCAATATGTCAGAAAATGGAGGTAATATTGGGATGTCCCGAGTCTGCATCAATCAACATAGAGTCACCAGAAATCATTGAAGAAAAGTCAAGTCAATGATAAAAAAATGTCCCAACTTTATTTATGAACCCCAATCATTAATAACCTATGTCATTGCCAAATGCCAATATAATAAATAGAAGAAAGACTTGATGATTTTACTTTTTAAGATACTAAACACATTTATAAAATCAAGACGATTATATGCTTCAAGTCTTCAAAACTTGTACAAAACTCTGCCAAGAAGCATTCAATATAGACTCAGTCATTTTATGGTGCGGATATTTTAACATTCTGGAAAGAAAGATTGTCTGAAAACTGGAAATAAATACACATTAAAAATCTGAAGCAGTTCAATGGTCACGAAATTAGCACAAATTTGGCAACAAGTATCCATGCAAGTCTGATCACCAGAATTGAGGCAGGGAAACTTGCAACAAGCATCAGCCAACAAAATGACTATTCAGATGGCCCTTGGAGAAAAATCAATGGTAATAAATGCTAATAAAACATTTATACGCGCATTAATGTGCACAAATTACATGGTGATATTCCCAACCATACAGTATAAAACTGCAGTGCGTAATATTCACTCTAATTAACATCTTTTTCTATAATCTTGATCCTCTATGATTTAGGACATTGGTAAAATTCTAAGACACAAGAAAACAACAAAAATAAAGATAATAGGTTGATCCAAGTGTCATACCTGCAAATGAAATGCCGCCAGTTATATCAGTGATAGAGAATTCAGTGTACCATCTTTAGAGCTGTTGATATCTTGTGCCTTAGCCCATGCTTTCAACTGCAAAATCGATTGCAAATGAAAAGGTTTACACAAATACGATTCCACAGATCAATAGTTCAGTTCCTTTTTATTTTGGGTTTTTAATACAGTGACAAAGTCAGTACTCAGTAGAAAACACAACCCAAATAGCAAATGGAGCTCTCATTGAACTACAAGCCCCAATCATATTTTCATACAGTACATTTATTCAAAAACCAAATCATGTTTTCTCAATTACAGGCCTTATTTGAAAGTTGCTATTGCCAACCCAAAAATAAAAAAGAAAAACACACTAAAACAAAGGCAAAGCACCAAATAAAATACGCAGTATGCCCTTCGTTCTTTTTTGTTCTACTCAATTTGCTCATTCTATCTTAGGCATACCCCCTTTACAAGCTTACCCCTTCTATCCCACAATAATTACAACTTTCCACACTCTCTTACTTAATAACACCTTATCCTTACACCCACCAACCTTTTTTACTTTTTCTCCCCTACTTTATCTTACATCCCATCATCTTTTTTAATATTTTTTTTACAGTAGAGTATAAAAGAACAGAGAGAGTATAGAATAGTGTGTATATGTGTCCTATGTGATGTGAGTGGCTAGCTTCTATAAGTTGGTATCATCCACAATCTTATAAGTAGTGACTTCCTCCAAGAAAGTGAAACAATTCTATCTTTCACCCATCTTATTGAAAGACTTTCACCCATCTCTAAATGCGGAGCAAATGAAAGGGAAAACTAACATAAGTTCAATCAAGTCCTTACAAGGTATTACCAACTACAGCTGATTGGCTTTTGCTTCTCCTTTTACTTACCATAAAACTTAGCTTTTGAAACCTTTCATCGATAGCCGAAATCAAGAGCACAATGTGGGATTTAGCAATACCGTCTCTATTTCCAACTGAAAAATCACATTCAATTCCAGATCCAGAATCAGTAACTTTTAATACAGGCACCCTAGCCGACATGATCAGCTCCACAGTTGTAACATGTCCTTTCTCTGCAAATATATAACAGGGTCAACTGAGCTTGGAGCAAGGAAGAAAGGATCCAACTCTATAGTGAGTGACTAACAGCCACAGAACTTGGAAACTTTATCAATTGAGCAAAATGAAAAGTCACATTTTGAACAAGATAAAGGCCAGACAGGGAGGTAATGAACTACCTCTTGTTCAGATACACCAGTTATTGACTTAGAGTTTATAGAGACAGCCTATTCTGCTCTGCCACATAATGCAGTGAAGTGGAATTTTATATTCAAACTCCACTTTGCTAAGTTTCACAAAAACCTAGGACATGCTAACATTGCAACTAACCCAAAAAAAAACAAAAACTCTGCATTATTCCTACGACTGACAATTACATGCCCGCATAATTTAAGTACTATACCAAGAGTCAAGACGAACTTTCTACATCACAAATAAGCTTATAAGGCAATAATCACTGTAATATCAAATTATAATATTCTCATAATCTCAAATTATAGAATTCCCATATGCGTATTATTATGTCCAATTTATTGTCCTTTTGCTTTGATTAATGCATGTTAATCTAAGCATTATTCCTCATTCACATTATACATGGGACTGAGGGAGTAACTTCTTTGATTAAAGCCTTATATATTTCCTTTATGCATGTTAAAGCATCAGTTCATATACACCATGCTTCCATCTAAGGCACTACTTGCATGCATACTTAGTTACTTACCTCTATAAAATTAGCACTTAAGAAAGTGCCTAAGCATTTATATATCGGTTGAGTCATTCAATTGAATAAGTTAACAAAAAAATCAGTTAGTTCATCTACTTGATACCACAAATGAAGGATGCTACTTTATATTTTATACATAGCTATAAAATAATTATCTTACACAAACAATGATTTATCCACCACAAAACCAAAAATTTTGAAGCAGATTTCAGCACTGAGGAAACTATTAATAAATGCAATACATTTAAAAGTTCAACAGAGGAATAACCTCTATAAGGTTAAGTAAAAGAAGTATCAAAAGAGAGCCATAACTTAACAAACGTTAAGTGAGGAGATTTTTGTAGGTTACTTACTTCGAAGGGCATAGAATTTCTTTGCAAACTTGCGGAGGGTCTTGATTTTTGCAATACGATCAGCTTCAAACAACTTATCACTAAAATTAATTGATAAATCGAGGTCACTTTTAGCATTGAACATATTCATCAAGAATGATCCAAAATTCTCCACTACAGGGCATTCTTCATTTCCTGAGATTCATAAGAATGGATTCATTAGAGGGGTTTTATTTTTTCCCTCATAGATACATAAATAAAATAAATCTATAACACGAGCATTAAAAAGAATGATGACATAAATGGCTTTTTTTCCAAAGAAAAAAGGGGGGAAGGGGGTGACAATTGACATGAATAATCCCTAATTTCACTCGTCCTTTTAAATTAATCACACTTTATGGAATTTTGGTAATATAGGATTAATGTGCGGTCTTGTGGGTACCTTTTCAAACTATTTTGGAGTACTGGTCTTCCTATATACAACAGACAATAGAACAAGATAAATAGCAGATCATACTCTTTTGTGAATATAACCTCCAAACTATAAATTAATTTTTAATAATCAAAGGTAAATTTAAATTTAACTTGTAAAGTTGTAAGTGAAACTTGGTATTCTTCCAGCCATTTTCCTGAATAAAAAGACAAGGGGAAAAAAAAGGTAAGTGTTGGGTATGGCCCAAATTTTATAAGCCCATTATATTGATGGAGTATAATCTAAAAGGTTCCTGAAAAATCAAGAGAAGATTGCACTTGATTTTTCTAGAGTTATCTACAACTTTAATATCTCCTAGAATATTCTAGAGAATATTAAAAGTAGAAGCCTCTAGAATAAGAGCCATAATTATGGGAAAATTCCCATAAGAATCTAGAAACCTCCATCCTCACCTATAAATATGGGTCAAGGGCATTCAATCAAAAACATCAACAAAAAACAATAACAAAACAATACAAAACACAACACAAGAAGCCATACCAAACACAAGCCTTTCTACAAAATATCTTCTCTCCTTGTAATATTCTACTACTATCATAATACTCCTTGTGAGTTTCTTATAGTGAGAGTTCTCTGGTAATAATCACCCTCAAGGGTTCTTGTATTCTCCTACTTCTAAATAGTGGAATAAAAGTGCTCGTTGTTACACAAAATTGTGTGTTCATTTATATTCATTATCTTGCTAATTATCAATTCAATTTACACTTCTCAATCAAACACATCTTCGCTTGCGCTGTGCACTCACCAACCCTAACAGTAAGATTGACCCTCCCCCTCCCTAAACAAAAAAACAAATGATTAAAGTAAATGGTGGAAAGTTTAAGAATGATTAGTTCTAGTTAATAAGTTGACAAGGGTTTTTTTGTTTATTATATTTTGTACTTTAGCTTCTGGTTATGACTTTTTTAGGGGCACCTCCTGAATCTCATTACAAAAAACAAAAATCCAGATAAAATCTACACCCCCCCTTCAACCACACACACACACACAAAAAAAAAAAAAAAAAAAAAAAAGAAAAAACCTAGGGGCCAAAACAACTATACCGAAAGGCCGGAAAATATCTTTTTTAGGTAATCACAAACCACCAGCAAGCTGGGCTAAATTCTTTAACGGTTTTCACTACTATTTTTAGTCATCCTAAAGAAGATAAAAGCAAGAAACATGAAAAGTAGCCCAAATACTCTAGTATCTAAATATAAGGTGGTATCATAAATGCTATCATCAGCAGACTATATATGCATAGCGGATGCTTTGTGCTTTAAAGATCATCATACAAATATTTCTCATTTGTAAATTCATAAAGGATTAGACTAAATTGCTAAAAATAATAAAATAATAGAAATTTTGCAATCTGCACTCTATCACTTGCTCTTGCTCAGCAATGTACTTTGCTATACAATAAACAATCAACAAAACAAGATTCTCTTCCCAATACTATATTGCAGATTGTACTTCTGAAAGTTCTTAAAGTACCTTCTACAAAGTATATTCCTATTCAATCTTTTGAATCTATAAAATCACAATTTTATCAGATAAGGAAAGCGGCAGTATGCCACTACTTATTGAGAGGCTATAAAAAAGGTAACATAAGAGCTAATCATTCTACATTTCTTAATTGGTGTAGTTTATTATGTGTGTCATGACTGAGAACTTAGTTTCATTCGGTATATGTGCCCTTGCATTGATGTTGCAATCAGCTCTGGTGCAGCAGCTACTGCTCAGCAAGATCTATAACAGGTTAAGATATGACTGTCTAATATAAGGTCTTGTACCAAGACTACTTGTGCAAATTCAGACATTTGAAACACTTCTTCATGTTCAAGGGCAAACAACATGATTCAGACTAGCTTATTTATTGGGCATCTCTGCACAATAAAAATTTCAATGGATAAAAAAGCAAAGCTTGTCAAGGAACATGTGCATAAAACCAGAAATACAGTTTAAAAATGAGGAATTTATACATTCACTCACAGGCAATAGGTTTTGTGCAATAGGTAGTAAAAATCCTGTAGCTTTACACAGTCAATGTTACATCCACACACAAAAAAATATGCACTTCACAATGAACAATGTGTCAAATTTCACCTTTCAAACATTTAAGAAGCACTATTTAGAAATTGCAAGACTTTCCCAAGATAAACTATTTAACAACAGAATATCTAACAACATTGCGAGCAGTACCAAATACCATAATAACAATAGACTATCTCTCCTCTTCTATTGATCCAAGTTTAACATGAAATTATAAGGGGACACCCACTAGCATATGGTGATATAGTTCCTCGTGTACATAAAAGAAAGCTTACCATACATTTCCCTAACGATATCATTAAAAATACGAATCAAATCTCTTCTATTGGCATAGTCGTCAATGCTGGGACAGGTAGATCCATAAACATCATCCAGCAGGGTCTGAAAAGAAGATAATTGAGAAAGCAAATCCTTGTTCTTCTGCAATCCCAAAATCTCCTGTCTCTTAGTAGTCATCAACATGCCTGAAACAATTGCCAAACCAAACTAACTCATTAGATTAACCTATTTTAGATTTGCTTCTAGGGATAACAACAACAAGAGTCAAGAGGGACATCGGATACATGGCTCATACAAACTTCTTAACATGTAAGAGAAATACTTCGTCAGTAACTCGATAGATACATCGCTTTAACTTTTACACTGTTTGTACCTTAACTTAAACAAAATCTCTAATCATTTACTAGAAAAAATTATAAAAATTGATATTCAGAAAATATACATTGAGATTAACACAATAACAATTCGTATGATGACATTTATCTTTACATATCAATCGTAGTAAAAAAACCGAGATCAAAGTTAATAGTGAAAAAAAATCAAACCGATGCATCTAAACGGAGGAAGCATGATATGATTATCGGCACAAACTACTAATCATTTGAATTATGCACATTTGCATTACTTACTCACAAGATTAACTTAAATATACAATAAATTAGTGCATAAGATCATCATCATCACCAACCACTGAAATCAATTACTCCATCACTAATTCGCAAAACAACTCGAAATATCAATTCATATGATCATGACAAATTTACAATATCTTTAAGCTGAATTAGATGAAAAAATCACCAAAAAAATTGAATTTATCGACTTCAATTAACTGCCAAGGAAAAGCAGTTTAACCAAAAAAAATCCGAATATTCATACTTATTAAGGTGGAGAGAAGAAATTGAAAGGAAAACGTGATTTGGAAGCAATAAACCTACTGAAGAATTGAAGTTGAATTGCAAGAAGAAAATGAATTAGATTGATAAAATTAGGATTAGAAGATACCTCGGAATTGAAAGCGCCTGAGAAGAGGAGAGAGGGAGAGAGATTGGAAGAGGATGGAATGAAAGCACCAGCAGTTGCAGTCGGTCAAAAGATGGAGGGCGGGGAATTTTAAGGGGCTCCTATGACGCTACGATTTTTGTCAAGTACGGTGCACAAGGAGTCCAAGGACTATTCAGTATTCACCGTTTTGTACTTTATCTTGCTCTATTAGGCAAATTCTATGATGAGATAGATTGTGACTCGTGAGACATTAAAATTTAAAAGTAATCATAATCGATTAAAACTAGCAAGACGTTTGGGACTTGGGAATAGAAGTTTGACAAAAAAACGTGTCATCGACGTGACTAAATATATTTAGTTTACTTAATCTGATTTGATTTTTTAAGAAAATTTGATTTAATAATTTTTAAATTTGTTTAAACTTTTACCTTATTTGTAAACTAGTTCATATTTCTTAAAACAAGATATAATCAAATGGGATATCATTAAATTCGCATAAAACTTTATTTTCCAAATGTGAAAATTTCATATGAATGTTTTTTTTTAAATTATGGAGATAAATAAGTAAATGCTAATAAAAAAAACACCTAGTTTGATCGAATCATTTATGAAATAAACAAATATTTTATTAAATAAGTTGAATTGAACCTAACCTAATTGACAATTTGACCATTACATTGTCCAATACTTTTTCTATTCACTTTTAGTTGTAACAATATGCCTAAAAGAGTGATATATTTTTGTCAAACTACAACAACTAATTTAGAAGTAAACTAATAAAGGTATTGAAATTGCAATAAATAATTGGTGAAACATAGCATAACCTAAGAATTCATGGTATATATTATTGAGGATTAGGGTTACATTTATCGGCTTTGTATAAGATTGGTTGAGGTTATAATTCATCTTATTTTCAATTTTGGTTTGTAAAGAGATGCATGAACGTAACGTAAAAGAGAGAGAGAGATGCATGAACGTATTATACAACGTATTGTAATTTTAACATGGATTTGTTCACACACATTGAGCTTACGTGTAACATACACAATCTTAATACTTAGCATCTATAGTAATCCTACAACATTGAGTAATAACCTTAATTATTTACTCCCTCCGTCCCATAATACATGAGACATTTGACTTTTTTCCACTGTTCATGCATTAGGTTTGACCATAATTTTCACTAACATAATAATATATGTTAACTTTAAATATGTTGTTAGATATGTATTAATATAAAGTTTCATAATATAATTTTTTTAAATAATTTTCATTAATATTCAAATATATATATAAAAATAAAGTTAAAATAGTGCATTAGCATATGTGCAATGTTGACTGTGTTATATATTATGAGACAGAAGGAGTATATAACTATGAAAATCGTACTCAAAACTCAAAATAACACAAGATTGAGTAATTAAAAAAAGTTAAAATGATTGAAATACTCTAAACAAAAAAATTACTCCGTATAAAGCAACAGGGTTTTAACGAGTTAAACCGAGTGTCGAACATGTTAAATCACCGGTCTCAAAAATCAACCATCTTTAGTAAGTGATGGTACATAAACCCAAATTGACGAAACCACATCAAGATTATCTCCAAAATAGCCGAAAATGGTAGCGCTAGTAAGGTGCTGTAAACCCTTCCTCCCGCCATATCTAACCCCTCTTTCTCTCTCCAAAACCCCACTTCAATTCCGTTTGCAATTCTCCATTAACAAAAGGGTTCGGTCCTTATGTTCTTCCCCTTCAATTAATGGTAAAAATACCATTAATAATTCGATTATTGATTCAAATAACGAGAAATTAGAGGGTGGAATCAAGAAAGGATTGTGGCTATATAATACAATGAGTAGGCAAAAGGAGTTGTTTAAGCCTAAAATTGATGGTAAAGTGGGAATGTATGTTTGTGGGGTTACTGCTTATGATTTCAGCCATATTGGTCATGCTAGAGCTTATGTTACCTTTGATATTCTCTACAGGTTCACTCTTTCTCCCTCTTTCTTGATCATTTTAATGTTGTAATCTTTGTTTTGGTGTAGAGAGATTCGACGAAAGGCAACGATGTAGACGGGATTTGATCCCGGGTTTTGAGTACCCTTTAACCAACTGAGCTAGTTGTCCTGCTCTATAATGTTGTAAATTTGGTTTTATTGCTATGAATTTTCTGTTTTTTTTGTTTACATTTATGGTTTGTTGACGTATAAATGCCTTTTTGTTAATTTGTTTTGTTTGGATGGATGTTATCAATTGTTAATTGTTTATAATGTATTGAGAATTTTTTTGTTTAGTTGTTGGTTTGATTATGGAAAGTTAAAAGCTTTGGTGTAGTTCACCAAAAATAAAAATAAAAAAGGATTTGTTCAATAATTTGATGCTATATGCTGTAGTTAGAATGGTAATCAGACTTTCATGTAACTGTTTGACTTATATCTTTTCTAATGGATTAGGGAACTTAATTTACTGGCCATATGTGATGAAACAGAAAAAACTGTCTCTACGGTCTAGGAAGATGGAAGGTTGGCAGGCTGACTACTAATAGATACGAAGTATTAGATAAACTGAACTTTTGAACTGGTTATGTGTGTTTTTAATTATCATTGTATCTGCTGATTAGTGCTGTTTCTGCTTAATCTGATGATTTGGCAGGCATCTCAAGCATATAGGTTATGAAGTCTGTTATGTTCGCAACTTTACGGATGTTGATGACAAGGTTGGTTAACAAGCTGCAATGTCAAGTGCTAATGAACACTTTCCTTTTGGCTGTCATGATTGTAAATTGGATCTATTTACCTATCCTAAACTTTCTCTCAACTCTGCAATTTGTTTCTGATCGATTTGTCTTAAAGCTAGAAATTTTGTCACGCCAAGGCAATCAACATATTTGTGCTTCAATGTAATATTGGCTTTGAGTTGATATGAATGTCATGTACCGACTTTCTTATACTTGTCTGACAGGATACCTGAGTATGGAATTTTCGAATTCTGTAGATAATTGCCAGAGCTAACGAACTGGGGGAGAATCCAATATCTCTTAGCAAACGTTTTTGTGACGAATTCCTCCAAGACATGGCCTATCTACATTGTTTGCCTCCATCTGTAGAACCTCGTGTCTCCGATCACATACCACAAATTATAGACATGATTAAGCAGGTATTTTTTTGAATTATTTTATCAGGATATGCTCATTCATAAGGTCATGTTGTGATTCCATATATAGTTGTTGGCTGAAAAGATTCTTTTTACATAAAATTGTTTTATGTTGAGGACTATATTGCACAAATTCGGGAAGGGACTTTCGGGATGACTTGAACTTTTTGTAGAATAAGTTCTTCATTTTACTTCTTTTTTTGTTATATATTCTCTCTTTCTCTTGGCAGATTGTTGATAATGGCTTTGCCTACAGTGTGGATGGGGATGTCTACTTCTCGGTGGCAAAGGTCCCTGATTATGGACAACTGTCTGGACGAAAATTGGAAGACAATCGAGCTGGTGAGCGAGTAGCTATTGACTCGAGAAAGAGACATCCAGCTGATTTTGCATTATGGAAAGTAAGTGTTTTTTTTTTTTTAATGAATTTTTTATTATCTTTCCATATTTCTCTGGAAATCATTAAAGCAGAATTCATCATTGGTTATATCTAGGTTGTTACTACTCCCCCCAATTCAAATCAATGGTTATGCTTTCCTATATTGGATAATGGTTACACTTTACCTTTTTCCATTTTGAGATGTTTTCTACAATTTTAGTAAAAAATTCATTTCCTTACCCTTTTTGTACATGTATTTACTCTTTTGGACCCACTCTAATTCTTTAACTTTTTGTTTACTCTTTCAAGATTCCACCTTTTCCATTTCTATCTCTGAACTTCCAATGATTTCCTTGGTTTTAAATAAAAGTGAAGTGTAGTCATTTAATTGTATCAGATAGAATTGGAGAGTGAGGTGAGTCTGTACTCTGTAGTAGCTAATGTTTCATTACGTGTTCTGTTCCTTGTGTTGTGGTTTGTTCTCTCCTATGTTCTACTTCAATTCTAATTCCAATTGGGAATAAATAGGTATAATATATTGACACCTCAATATTGAATGTAACATGATACTTGTACACTTCAAAGTATACACTGCTTAGACTTTTTAGGATATCCAGCCATAGTGTCATATGTGATTCTTTTATCTGAGCCTTGTCGTATCAATGTTTTTTATTCCTTGTCTTACTTCTCACTGTTCACAACTTCACATCTAAAAGAATGCAAAAGATTTTAATTGTACATTTATCTCCCCTTAAAAAATGCATGCAGCAAGCTGGTTTTTGACTGTTTGTTGCTGATGAAAGTGGTAACATTTACTTTTACTTTGCTTTGCTGTTTGGTTGCTTTTGATATACGACCTTTTACAAAACTATGCTATTTTTACAGTCTGCCAAAGAAGGAGAGCCCTTTTGGGAGAGTCCATGGGGTCCTGGAAGACCTGGTTGGCATATTGAATGCAGTGCTATGAGTGCTGTTTATTTGGGCTACTCTTTTGACATACATGGTGGTGGGATGGACCTTATGTTTCCTCACCATGAAAATGAAATTGTTCAGAGCTGTGCTGCATGTCGTGAAAGTAATATAAGCTACTGGGTGCATAATGGATTTGTCACTATTAATTCGGAAAAAATGTCCAAATCTCTTGGTAACTTCTTCACAATACGGCAGGTAAAAAGATTTAGCTGTATAAGATTTTCAGTTCCATTATTGTGAATTGTGATCTTTGGTTCACCTCATGCTCATAACCTTTTCGTTTCTGGGTGTTGTACTGAATCTAGTAAGCTCTTGGTCTTCGCAGGTTATAGAACTTTATCACCCACTTGCCTTGAGACTCTTCCTCATGGGAACCCACTATCGTTCTCCAATAAATTATTCTGATGCCTTATTAGAGTATGCGTCTGAACGTATTTTCTACATATACCAGGTATGTCTGGCAATAATTTCTATTATTTGAAAATGGTGTTTTAATCTTAAGACACACATTCAAACTATTCTATATGGTATTTATAATGCCCTCTTATCATAAACTTACGGGTTCTTCACTCCTTTAATGTGAAGTAAAATGAAATAGCCTGTACTCCTTGCATGGTTATGGAATGTTAAAATTATGGCATGAATTCTTGTGCCTTTAAACTTGCTGCTTCTCTTTTTGAGCTCCTATCTATGCACTTGTGATGTAGTTTTTTGCTTATGATATGGGCAAAACTTAGGTGGTTCTGTTGCTCCTACTGGCTTTGTTTCTAATTTCTAGTGCGATCTGTATGCAGACATTATATGATAGTCAAGCTCTTCTGGGCAAGCATGAAAAGGCTAGTTTAAAAAATTCCATTCCCCAGGATATTGCAAGTTGCATCAATGATTTCCAAAATAGTTTTGTGAATTCCATGTCAGATGATCTCCTCACTCCAGTTGTTCTTGCTGGACTGTCTGATCCGTTGAAGACCATGAATGATCTTCTTCATACCCGTAAGGTATGTAAATTCTGACTGGTCCCCAAATTTATATTTTTTACCTGGTTCAAATATGAGGCCATTATGTTAGTTTAATTGGCTAAACTATTATTTGACTATGTCCCAGAACGGATTTTCTAGTTTGGTACTGTATCATAAAGGGAAAATATAGCTTTTGATCAATTTCTAACATTTGGCACTACAGGGAAAGAAGCGTGACCTGCGAATTGAATCACTTGTAGCCTTAGAGAAGGCAATCAGAAATGTGCTGGTTGCTCTTGGGTTGATGCCATCAAATTACTCAGAGGTAAACTTTTTTGATGTTTTTAGATCCAATGCAGCCAAAAAAAGGGGAAATGTCCGATAACTAATGTCGACATGTGGTGGTGCAGGCTTTACATCAGCTCAAAGAGAAGGCTTTGAAACGTGCCAAGCTCTCAGAAGCTGAAGTTCAGCAAAAGATTGAAGAGAGAGACACATCAAGGAAGAACAAAGAATATGAGAAGTCAGATGCAATAAGGAAAGAACTGGCTGCAGTGGGAATTACTCTGATGGACAGCCCAGAAGAAACGACCTGGAGACCTGTGGTTCCCACCGCACTACAACAAGAGCCAACAATGGCTAGCTGAGTCTATGTAACATGATTGTTTTCATACCATATCAGAGATTCAAAGTCAAGGAGACATTATTTATAACATTTTGAAGTTTTCTGTAGATTATTTTGAGTTTTCTAGTGAAAAAAATTGAGGATGATCATAAGATATGCGGCTTAATAATCTAATGCTATTACTGGAAACATTTTTTGTGTTTATCAGCTTACGAGTACTCTTCTTGTGTTTATTAAAGTGTGAATGACTCACCATATTGTTTCCAATATACTACTTCGTATATGATTTCTTGCCTCAGTACTCTGTTGACCCTTGCCTTGCTTTTTAACATGGAAGTCAGATCTGGATTTTAACAAATACAGTTGAGACGAGACAGTTTCAGGATGAAGCTTCACCTTGATATCTGAATTGATTTAAGTTCGGTAATTTTTTTTCTTTTTGAAACATTTAAGTTTGGTACATTTATGTTGTGTTTCCCTAGTATTTGTAATCTATAATGATTTGTATCTGTTTCTATTTACAAACGTTTGAAACAATGCTTGGTATATGGACAAATGCAATGGAAAATGGGGCAATAGTTATCGGATCATTTATATGTACAATTGCAGGTTTCAGTATTGGGATGCCTCCGGAGGAATCAACAGTCAAAACTCTCCCATTTAGGAGCATTTTTTTGCTGCTCAAGTCTCTATCTGGGGCTGTCAGGTGGTACTCTTCTCTTATATTCTGAGTAAATATTGGCATTTTACCAAATTTGGACTTCCTAGCAAATGGTTCGCTGTTTTCTGCTGTAATGCTGCCTGTTTCTGTAGATATGTTGACTCTAAGGGTCGCCTCAGCGTCAAGGTTGATTAAGAGCAATGTGATCCCTTGCTGAATGGATAAATACGGTATGTCAGATCAAGTTTAGCCTTGTCAAATACAACTTCTTGTCTTTCCTCTACTGAATTTTCACCTTTCAATGTAATTTATAAATTAAAAAAATCTTAAATTGAGGATTAGGCATATATATACTTCTTAAAGTAGGTGTATATATATATATGTATATTTTTTTTTTCCCTTGTTGAAGAAGATATATTATTGTTTTAGGAAATGCTTCTTATTGTTTTAGCAGAAGTGGCTAAAATATTGAGTGTATTTCAAATCCATATGTAATAAGAAATTAAGAACTTGATATGGGAAATTGGTAGTACTCACAGATTGTTTCGAGCAATGAGTGTATGCTCGTAAATTATTCGTCCCAGAAACGCTTGTAGAGAGAACTTTTTTTCCCATCAAACGATGCCAAAGAAGAGCGCTACAAATATTCACAAGTCAATAATAATACAAATTTGCTGCAATTTCAAATATTATGCTCTGTGCCTCTGCTTGCATAGCAATTATAGCTATAGAACTTTTTGTTATAGTACCTGTAATAATCAGGGTTTGGCACAAAATTAGATCTGTCGAGAAGCCCATAATTTCCACCTATCAAAGTTTGTCTGCAATAAGTTTTGGTATTATATGTTGCTGCCATTCCAAGCTGATCTAAGTACCTGTTTTTGTTTATTTAAAGCCTGGAAGCTTAAGCCAAGGAAATTCATTGAAAATTTAGCTGAGTTGCAGTGGCTAATTAAGTGGAAAGTTTACCAGAAGCTCATCACAAAAGTGTTTGTAACATGATTTCGACCACTGTTAAAAGCACCACCTGCTTCACCAACCCAAGCAACAGCTGAGGTCCCCGAGTTCCTTATGTCCTGTTGGAGTTTTTTGAATACTCTTGCTTCACAGTCAAGGTGGGATGGATCTAATATATTACCCACAAGGCCATTGTAGTTACCTGCAAATCAGAAAAAAGGGTTCATGGTAAGGTTATATTTGCTATCGAATTATCTATATAGTGCTACCTTCATCCTGAGTACTCGATTATTTATTTTGTGTTATTCCTACTGGTCAAGATGTACATAGCGGTAATGCCTTTAGTTTTACTAATCCTTTGCCAATTTCATCTGATAGGGAGACTGTTTCTGGAAGATCGTGCTGATTTTCTTAAAACTATGAGTCGATAGTTTTGAAAGAGTGGGTTGGTTTACCTGCACCAAGATTATAGACATGGTGGGTGATTGCTTGGAGAGACTTGGTTGTTTTGCCAATAAACTCCGCGAACCACGTAGCATCAAAAAATCCTCCAGGGCCAAGTATTAGAGGCTTTGTCTCAGAGCCTACATACACCTTTTCAATAAGATTTTGCAGGGTGTTCACATCTGAAGCATACTGGTGAGCTGTTACTCTTGCACCAATTCCCCTTCCACTGAGTTCATTTCCTATCAGTAGTTCAGAACATTAACAATATGTCATAATTTTGGAACGAGTACTTTGGTTCGCTTGAAATCTTGTGAGCAATTCATACTTAAAGAGCTACTTACCAAGTTCCCATCCATAGATACTGTATCCCTTGTTGACTGTGTATCTTAAAAGTGATTCTGCATTGCTGGGATCCCAAGCTCCTTTAGCTGACCCATCTGGGTTTATAGTTCTTCCTGTCAGTGCATTCAACCCGAAAGTGACCACAGCCCTAGTCATACAAATGCCATATAACCTTTTAAGAATTCCGATTTTTTTTTACTTGGATTTTGATCAAGTTTATGTAGAAGACTTGAAAGATACATTTGTTTTGATATGTACAGCATATGCTTATTAGCAAGGAAATGTGTTAATAATCTAGTGTACATACCCCGTCTCTTCGAAGAATCTGTTAAGGTCATCCCATCGCGTCATGGGCAAACAGCCTTGTGAGAAACCAAGAAATTGAGAGGATTTCTTGACGAATGGGTTGCAGTGTTGTTGCTCGTTCGTTTGGTAGATTAGTCTATCCTGCAATGTTCCACCCATTCTGATTTTCAGGGGAGAAAATGCTGCAATATCACGACGATCACATAAATCTTATGAAAACATTATTACATATGTCCATATGCTGGAGACCGGTACAGTGTAGAGCACTGAGCTTACCCTTTACAGCATTCGACAAAATTGTGTTGTTCAGATCCTACAGTCGTTAGCAAAGACACATATTAGAAGAAAATACGTGCATTCTTGTTTAGATGTAGAGAGCTACAAAAGGTAATCTAATCTAATCTAATATATATATAAATAAAGTAGGCATTTTTGGAAAGCATTCGGCGCGCCACATAAGTAAATGTATATTTTCGACCAATTAAAATTAGATTTCTATTTTACTTTGGAATTAAAAAATTCGTTTGCCACCTAAACAAAAGTGACGAATGACGGAATGAGATTTTAGAATTTTGCCACATAAGTAAAAACAACGAATATTGATTTATTAGGATTTAATTTATTTAAAAAACTAAAAATTATCTTTTAAAATAATCATCTTTTAAAATAATCATCTTTAGATATTGGATTTATATACCTACTATTATAAGATAAATTTTGATAGTGTTTATGATAAGAAATAAAAATTATTCCTTAATTATAATTAATACGAAATTTTTTTACATCGAATTATTACATCTAATAACTATTATTTTTAATGTTCTTATCAAAATATTTATTAGGGGAATAAATTACATAAAATTAATAAAAAATTATCCTTAACAAACAATAGCAAAGTAATCAAAAATATTATGAGTATGATCTAATTACAAAAATTATTTTTATGAGATTTTATGTATAAAAAACCGTGGGATATTAGGATTTAAATTATTAAAAAAAATAAAATTATCTTATGAAATTAATGGTTTTATCTAAATACCCGATCAATAAGATGTTTTTTTCATAAAAAAATTTGAAACTTATAACGCAATAAAAAACTTTACCTTCTTCAAACATTTTATGTCTAAAAAATTGAAAAGACAGATAATTTGTTAGAGATCAAGAGTTCACAAGAAATATACGAAATGATATATAGATTTGAGAGTTTAATTTCAAGTGTAAAAAGCAACGAATAATGATTTAGGATTTAAATTATTTTAAAAATAAAAAATTATTATATTTTCATATTAAAGATCTTATTACAAATTTTTTTTTTTTAAAGATATCATATTATTGTCATATAACTAACAACAACGAATAAAATACAAAACAACAATAAATTAAGTCGCATTATAAATTACATTAAAAAAATTATACTTTTGTAATTGGCAATATCATTTTAATTAAATTATTTTTTATTTTAATTTTTTTTTGGTCTGAAATTATTAAATTGTAAATTAAATCAAATAATTATTTTAAAAAAAAAAAACTTAGAGTATATAGGAAAATATCTTTCTTGAGATATATGTATGAGAAATCATGCATCGCACGAGCTTTCATCTAGTAATATAATATGAACAAGATTTGATCTGAAGTTTTGGGTACCATGCTTAAGATAATTAATCAACTAACTACTGTCAGTAGAGGTGGGCTTGGCCCAGTCCAAAGCTTGGCCAGTAATGGGCCTGGGCTTGGACCAAGTAAGTAATTGGGTTGGAATGGTATAAATGGGCCTATACATTTTTGTCATATTTAGGTTGGGCTCGTTCATGCATGAACATATAGGCCATATACAAAGCAACAGAGCACCTAACCTAGTTGGAATCGGACTAAAGTTGTTAGGCACTTAGGCGAATGGTAAAGATTCTAATGTCATTAAACCAATGCAATGACTTATACGATTGAGAAAGCGAGCTGATTATTATTATAGTAATAAAAGATAAATGCAATTAAAAAGAAAAACAATAAAAACTAAAATCATTTACTTGTAACTTTTAATCCAATTTGCCTAGTCATTTGATTATCATTGATAGTAATATAATTGCGTATTACTTTTGTCACAAGTAGTAATAATCAGCGTGCTTCATCATAGTCATTGCAAATAGGCCATATACAAAGCACATAGCAAACTCAAGTGGTCATGATTTCCCATTTTTATAGAAATGATTATGTATCGTTTACAATACAAAAGCAAAGTATTTCACGCACCTAATAAGTACCGAAAATGGTGCTCCTGTTAGCATGTCTCGGTCACATGAGGCCTATATCCTTCATGTGCCATATAGGAGTACCGTTCTTTTAACAGTAAAATGAGTTCATGGATGCACCATGCACATTACGAGTAATTTTTTAAAAAGGGTTATTCTCTCCCAACAAGAAAGAAGAGAAAATTTTCCCAAATGAGTATTTTTGACATAATCTTTGAACACTTTTGTGTTTGTGAGGAAGAAATTTAGTTTGTTTTTCCTAAGTGGATGTAAGTCATTTTCCACGTTCGTATTGTTGGCCTCATTGAATGGACCAACCAATGTGAACTTCAAATGGAAATAAAGCCAATAATACTGTAGTGCAAAATTATTCCTTAATGCTTTATTGCTTATTTTGTTAAAACAAATAATTCTTGACTAAAGCTGATAAATGACTAATAGTGTTGTACTACTACTCTCTCATCCAATCATCCTTATGTATCGCTTTAGCCATACTTTTTACATTCGGTTCATACTATTTGTATCTATATTTTTTTTGTTTTTAAGTTTTCTTTAATCAATTTTGATTCTGTAATAAGCTATTCTAGATTTTAAGTGCTTTCCTCTTCTAACTTAGCATTTTGATTTAGAGGGAAGAATTCTATTTCAGTCATATCTAGGTGATGAGTTAACCAACTAAAGCTTAATTAAAGTTGGGTACTTGTCAAATACAACTTTATTAACATTCAAAGCATTTTGTCATGAAAATCTTTTGTCAAGTGTACTCCCCCCTCTATCTCCAAATCATAGTTGTATCTCACTTAATATATTAATTTCTTCGTTAAAATTTTATGTTCACCTTTCAATCAAGCAATCGCATTTTTTACTAAGCAATCTTTTTTAATTAACCAAATAAAATAAAATAAATAAATAAATTCAACAAAACCGCACTCTCTTTCTTTTTTATTCAAATTTTATAAGTTTATTACTTTCTTATTTTCATACAAAAGACAGATGAGACTCATATTTAAAACATAAAACAAACCATGTTATTTATGAAAACATGAAAGCAGAAGGTCTATAGAGAGAATAGAAGTATACAAAAACACTATACTTCATGCATTCATTCACCACAACATAATCATAACAATGAAACTAGATGACAAAAAAAAAAAAAAAAAAAAAAAAAAAAAAAAAAAAAAAAAAAAAAAAAAGTTAAAAACAATACCAGATTGAGAAGAGAGGTTTCACCCCAACTACAAGAATCATAGTCACACTTATCAATAGGCCACCAATCCAGTGTGGCGCAGATATAATCATCGTCAGTCCGAGCAATCTCAGCCGTCGAATTAAAGTAAACATCCACCGTCTGATGCTTTGGTGATTCAACTGAATGGTTTAATATGAAATACAAGATGCAAGCCAAGCCCAAAAGAGAGATGATAGAAAACACCATTTTACACCATAACCCACCTCTTATTTTCAGGTATGTCATAATTTTCATATCATTCTTATAACTTTATATGTATGTTATTGTTGTATATATAGAATATAGTGTGATATTTTTATGTATTAGTTGGTGCATATTATATAGAATACATGATGGGATTAAGAAATAAAATTTTGATGGGTGTTATGATTTTTCTTGTTAGATTTGATGGTGAAAAAAAGTGAAAAGAAAGTTGACATGAGAATAATGAAAGAATGGTGAAAGAGTATACTTTTCATAAGTGGAAAGAAAATAGAAGAATTGACGGTTTGGTCTAAGTAATAGAACAATTGATCCTTCTTCACTTTTTCCTACTTTAGATTTTTCTATTAGTATGTATTTAGGGGTCAATGGTATTGGTGGCTATCCAAATTACATGAACAAGGTTTAGGATTGAGGACCCACTTTGGTTGGTAAGAAATACTTTTCTCTTTATTTTGTGCGTAAATTTTGATGGGCATAATCCACAAATCAAATGGTAGGAACTTGATCAAGGGTTGTGCTAGAATTTGGGCCGAAAAATAGATTGTTTTAATCTCGGGAGTTAGGGTTGAGCTTCGGGTCAAAAATTAACAAGCTCTACATAAAGTTGCATGAGTTAATAATATCAATGTTATTGTTGGTGTATATCAAGAGCCAAGAATATATATAATAAGGCTATTTAGGCAAAGTAGCATTATCATATCCTATAAAGGTACAATACAAATAAAGTTGCAAGTTGAGCATTAAGATTAAGCACATTTTTATATGGATGTAAACATGAATATATATTAATTTATAATATATGCTTTTGATAAATACTTGTATTAATGCATTGTATTACTATACAAAGTAGGATAATATAGAGTTTAAAAAAGGTGGAAAACTTTTGAAGTCCACTTGTTAAGCTAGTTTTAATGATTCCCTGACTAGTTAAGAACTAAGACACCAAATTGTTTGCTGATGGCTACAACCGTCCAATGGGACACAAAGGTGAATTTTCAAATGTTCCAAACTTCTAATAACTGGTCAAAAACGACATGAAACGAATTGATCCCAAGCATCATTCACAAATCGTGATTGTTGTAACTTTAACTTTGGATTTTCAAAGCTTTGATGTATTATTTGTTGTATTATTCTTGTATAGTTGAATCTAGTGATTAAAGACTACTAGGTTATAAGTACAGTGTACAATGACTAGGAATTTGGGATCGTTGCTTCCAAGATCAAATTTAAAAGTCTTTGCCTCATATCCTAAGATTATCTTTTGAATTTCCACCAATAAAATCACTTAAATTGTTCCATCCATAAATTAGTCGTCAAAATATGCATCAAAGTGCATTAATAACATTTGGTTTTTGTGAATGAAGTAACCTTCATGCAATGATCCAAAATATCCAAGTCCATTGACAAATATGACAATGATACAGTTACACATTCTAATAAATTTGACAAATCCATGCCTTAAACTTTGGTTTCTGAAGACTGATTTTGTGGAGTCAAGTCTTCTTTGATAGCTCTCTCATATTCAACTATCAAAAGTGTCAATTAAGTCCAAAGCACTGTAACAGCAATTGAATTAAAAATAAAAAATAAAAAGCAAACATCGTCAACAGCAGGGTTCGAACCTGCGCGGGCGAAGCCCAACAGATTTCAAGTCTGTCTCCTTAACCACTCGGACATATTGACTAATCTGGCAACTAATTAAGATATAAATTATTTATACTAAGTCTTTATTAACAAACACGTATACAGTAGTCAAATTCAAACCATTACACAAAATTAAGTTTTAATCATTGAATTGAACTGTACTAGACGTAATGACTAGTGACTAACATTTTTGCAAGATTAAGAATTTGAGCTCTGACGTACATATCCGTGAAGATTCATGGACTTAAGTAGTTCATCACTTCATCGCATAGATCCATAGACAACGTTAAGTAGTTGTTCATTGCGTTAACCCTCAAGTTTCCAAGTTTCTGATCGGAACATGACATCTATTACATTTCAGATTTGTTCGTCACATTACACCATTTTACATTTATAGTGAATGCCACGATGTTAAAATGGCCAGAAGCGGCGTAGCAGTCGTAGCAGACTGTAGGTTCAACTAGTTGCTAGTCTGCTACAAGCACAACGACACATTGGACTTGCCTATAGAACAGATTTATCTAAAAGCATGCCTTGCAAGGGTAGATATACTATAATCTGCTATGAGCCTATGACACATATTAGTGACCGATGTGGGACAAAAATTTATCACTAATATTAGTATGTATGTCTCTTTGGGACTTGGGAGCAGTCACAAAATCTCTGAAACTAGATAATAAAGAAGCGTATGAAATGAATCTATATAATTCAAACAAAAAGAGTGTCTGTCAGACAACCGTGTGATCATCCCAAGCTCACACAGTGGAGCTGGGGAACGATCATCTACGGCACCAGTGGTCCAAGAACCAAAGGCAGCTGTTAATCACGCTCTGACCACACGGTCATAGTTCATCCACCAGACTTGGTTTTCTGTCTCCTTAGAACTCAAGGATACAGAGGTACGATCCTATAGAACAGATCCTGTTCAAGTAAGGTCGTGCTAGTTTATCTACTGATTTGGATTATAAACATGCAATTTTTTCTCTAAATGGCCGATGTGGGAATTTGTTACTTCTTTACTTGGACTCACATGGGTACACTGACAGCACGAGCCATCTTTGGATTTGGAATCATGTCTCCTACTTTTGAATTTTGGATATTATAAAAGGTGCCGACTTCTAAAAAAACACGTCGACAGCAGGGTTCGAACCTGCGCGGGCGAAGCCCAACAGATTTCAAGTCTGTCTCCTTAACCACTCGGACATATCGACATCACTTATGAATTAAGTGTGTTTAATAATATTTATATTATTCAACATGATGTATTACTCAGTTCCTAAAAGTTCAACTCACTTTGCAATTGTGTGGTTTTCAATGAACATTTTTTACCATGAATAACTCCGGTTGTGTATAAGTGAAATTTGTAAAAAGTTGATTTTTGGATTATTTATATAATAAGGGAAATCTAATATGATATCACATGCTAATTTATTTATATTGTACAGCTCATAAAATGTGGTCAAGTTATTTTATTTTGACCACATGAATAGTAAGTGAGTCAAACTTTCAGAAATGGAGGTAGTACATATAAATTGTTAGTACAATATCAATTACAAGATGTCTTGTTAATAAACAATACAAAAAATAGTCTTATGGTAATCTAATATGGAGTGTTAATTCTTATAATCATAAATTACGGAGTATTATTTTACTGGATCAATTTCTCTTAATTAAAGATTATACTCTTAAGAAACTTTTGTAAAGAGTCTATTTTACAATTGAAGGTGTACATTTTCATTTTTCTATTCCCACGCTATTAATTTAGCTCTATAGTTATTTACTCTTAGAATTGAAGAAGACTTGCAGAAAATGGATAGATTTCGTATTTGGTGCGGTGTATTTGGAGGGGAAAGGAGAGGAAGAGTCAAGGGTCTATTCCTCTCTTCCCTCTTCTTCTCGCCCCCTCCTTGTCTTGTCGCCTTGAGGACCTTGATCCATCCCTCGCAATGTGAGGCTATGATTCTAGGACAAGGTTTACGGAAACTTCCCTCGCATTGTGATGTAAAGGAGTTGCCTTGAGTAGCCTAGTGAATTCCTATGATTAAGATCATGCAAACTTGAAATGCCATTTGAAACAAAGACAGTTGAAACAAAAGAAGGGCGAGTCTGTAATTTACATAAAATGGAAAAAATATGGCATACATGGTGAAATGCCACCTTTCGATGTACAGAAAACTACTTATCAGTGCCTGACTTCCTATGTACAGAAAACTACCTATCTGTGCCAGACTGTGTTTGAGACGAGATGTCAAAATCCATCGGACTGTAGGGGGTCAAACACTGGATTTGTGGAATATCAGATTATATAGCATACCTTAATAAATTCACAGTTTTACATTTTGACCAAGGTAGCAAATTGTTATGAACCATGTCTCATTACTCCCTTAAATAAATTGCAAAACAAAGTTGTCTGTCAAAGAATATCAAGGACCAAATCTAGCCTGACCTAAGTACTATTATAAATACTGTAATTAAGAAGAACCAAAAGATACTAGCTTATATAAAAAAAAAATGAATTCTAGAGCTTTGCCAGTAATTCAGGAGTCTCAAAATGTACATCTTGGAAGTTTATGCAGTGAGACAACGCAACAGCAAGCTTCTTTACATCCTTCCTTGTATGTGCAGCGCTCAAAGTTATTCTCAGTCTACAAATAAAGAACACAACATATGAGTAAGCCAACTCAAACAGAAAAAATAACCACAGTATATCTGTATATCGAATGGCAGGAAGAAACTAAAGGGCGGAAGTGAAATCTGAAAAACCTGCAAGAATTAGGAGGGACTGTTGGTGGTCTAATTGCAGTGACATGAAATCCAGATTTCAGCATATACCTGCAGGATGACAAGGCTTAAGAAAAGTCAAAACTGCTTGTAACTATGGAAAATAGAAGGGCAAAAGAGTACTTACCGACTGGCTAGCAAGGAATTCTCTTCACTTCCCACTATAATTGAGACAATGTGACTTGTAATGGGGATTCCAGTGAAGTCTCGGAAGTCTTGCACCCGTTCTTGGATTGCTTTTCTACACCAGGTTTCTTTCTCAGCAACAAAAGTAGCAGCTGGTATGTAATGTCATTAGATTGCTTGTCAATGTAGAGAGAATGCTATGCATTTATATATATACAGCATATACCGATATATATGTACACACATTGCAATACCTTGAAATTACTCTCCTATCCTACTAACAAGCTAGCATCTTCCAAGTTAACAAGTTAACATTTGTAAGTTTGTCCTCTCTACATTTTCTTTGAGTTGGACCCCTGCATCCAGGATCCACTCACCCACTCTAATCTCTATTTTTTACTCTCCTTATCTCCATGCAAAACGTACAAGTTGTTAAAGGAGCAGAGACGTGGAGGAAGTATACCACAACACCCACCACACCCCCCCCCCCGGGCCCCGCTTTAATTAAACTAATACTATAAACTTCTTTTTTGACTAGGAACTGCTTCATACAATAAGTTGTCCAGATAGATAATTAAAGTCACTTTACCATGGGCAGCAGCAGCCATTGGTATCGGCATAGCAGTGGAAAATATAAAAGAACGACCCCTGGACATAATAAGTTGTTTCCACCTTTTACTGCCATCAAAAAATTGATGAAATGTGTAAGTAATTTCTAAAAACGCAATGGAAAAGAACAGGAAAATCAAAAAGAGAGTAGATAACAGTATGACTACTAAGAAGATGCCAAGTGGTACATAATACCATATGAAGCTGACTTCTATGAGTACAAGGAATAAGTCCCCCCCCCCCCCCCAAAAAAAAAAAAAAAAAAAAAAAAAAAAAAAAAAAAAAAATCTCATGAGTGCTGAATGAATATGTACTCTAATTCCTTAAACGACAAAGCTTTTGTCTGCCAATGAGAAGCATCAACTTGCAGAAAAATGAAAAAAGTTCCTTCAGAATCAGCAGGTTTTCCATTTTTCTAACATGGCATATCAAGCAATAGTCT